GGAATGTTTTGATTTAGTGTTACCAACCCGAGTCCCTAAATTTACCCACAATATCAATGTCTGAAGCTGCCCCCTGTCTGAAGGAGACCCCTTTTCTCCTACATGGTTAAGTCAATTTAAACTTTAATATAGAAAAACTATTCTTTAATTCAAGTCTCAACCTGATTCTCAAGTTTTATTTCAGATTGGAGGCAAGGAGTAACTTTTAAATGAGTAATGTACTTTATTATAGTTAAAATTAAAATGGGAAATATTTTTTCTAGAAGTCTTCTGGACCTCTTTATATTTTGATCTCAATCTTTTTCTGCCAACACACTTGATAATAGAAGAAATATCTTTAAAGTAGAAAATGTTTGTAATTTCGGATATCTCAGATGTATTGCCGTACTATCCACTAATTCGTTTCCAATTACTCCACTGTGTCCTTTAACCCAGAGTAAAGTAAATGTTTTTTTTTCGTGATTTTAGTTCATGTGATAATTTTTTGATACCAAGGATAATGGAGTTTTGAAAACTATCTAATGGATGGCTACGAATAGCTTGTAATACTTATCCAATCCAATTATGATTCCTCGGCCAACCTTGTCGTCACGATTCCAAGGCTCCATCATAACAGGTGTCCCTTCGTCCACAATTCCCTGTAACCGCGCTACTATGATCGTTTCACTTCTCGCAGGCACGACTGTATCTTCTTTAACGGCTGCTTGCACAGTGTTGTCATCATGTGGATGAAGAAATACCTCCTCGTTACCAACTTTGATTACCTTATTCTTAAAATCCAATTGGAATCCGTGCATATTCATTACGTCCATTCCTAATATAACATCCTCTTCGATGTCAGCAACTATAACAGTATGGATTAATTTTTCTGCTCCAATTTCTAATTGTATCTGGATTTCTCCATGAATGTTGGCATTTTCACCTGTAGCGGTCCGAAGTCGCAACCTCGTTGGTTACAGTTTCTTTCGGCTGTTTATAACTGTCGGACGTATAATGGTTGTGGTCGCTCTGGTATCCACCAACAACGTATGCTTTTTACCATTTATTTCTCCATCTACATACACACTATCTTCACGACATTTCAAAGAAGCTATTAGTATGAGAGGGTCTTTGGAAAAGTTCCGTGTCGAAGCTGTTCCCCTAAGGCCCACCCGTTCTAGTTTTCCTGATGATGTGTTTCTTGATTTGCGTCGTACCTAGGGTGCCTACAAGAACTTCGTACATGTTCTATTTCGCCACAATTCCAGCATCTTATGGTCTTCGTTTTCTTGTATGTAATACTTTTCATCATATTAACGAGCTGGTCAAGTTTAACTTTCATCTCCTTCCTTCTTTACAGTACTAACTTTACTGTACCCGCCAGAGGCCTGCGTAGCTAACTCGTATTCGAGGGCTGCGGATAAGACATCAACCAGCGTCTTTTGACGAGCTAATCGTAGTGTTCTCTGAATTTCATGGTCTCGAAGACCATCAATAAACGTTTGAACGGCCATCTTTTCCATCATGTCTTCGGGAGCTGTTGGATAAGTATATCGTACTAATCTGGCAATATCTACCTCATATTCTTGAAGAGCCTTATCTTTCTTTTGTCTTCGATTTTTAAGCTGCGACTGATATACATGTTCCAAATGTTCGTGGCCATATCGCATATTTAATCTCTTCTTGAGTTGTTCGAAATCATCCGTCTCCTCTACGGCTATGGTCTGAAGCACATCTAAGGCATCTCCTCGAAGAACGATAGTCAGGTTTACAGCCTTTTCTTTTTCAGACCATCCATTCGCTCTTGCAGCTGATTCGAACTGTTTCATGTAGTTGTTCCATGACGATTTTCCGTCGAAAGTTGCGACTTTGACATGCACAGAACCTCCACTTCCTTCAAATTTCGGCCGTGTTTCCAACTTACATTTCGTCTCGTCTTCTTTTGTCTCTACTGTAATTGGATTGCTTCCTCTCTCTGCTGTCCCTGTTCCCTCCATCTTCCTTTCCAGTTCTTTTAACTTTTCTTCAAAGGCCAACATATCAGCAGCAACTTGGTTTTTTAACGAAGACACTCTATCGTCGAGGGCAGACATCTCAGAAGTGACTTTAGAGATGTTAGCAGAAACTTTGCTTTCCAGAGAAGAAATCTCGTTAGAAAGTTTGCTCTCTAATGATGCGATGCCACCAGAAACTGTGTTCTCTAGTGATGCGATGTCACCAGAACCTTTGGCTACATCAGAAGAAACTTTCGAAATATCGTTAGAAACTTTGTTCTCTAATTTCTAAATCGACGAGATGACAGCAACATGTTTATCTTCAAATATATAAGTTTCCGGATCCAAACCCTCTTCTTTCAAAGCGTTCTTTAGTCGTTATTTTTCCACTTTTGACACTAAATGAACTGTTTTTATAAGTCTAATTTATTTACTTTATTTTCCTTATTCTAATTCACTAAAACAAAATAATTTATATCAATTTATTATACCACTTATTCGATACAACAATTTATTTTCGACTAACTAACTGTTTACCAGAGATGGGCATCGACACGTCGACTTTAATTGTCGACACAGACGTTGTTGTTTCTATTCCTCAATCAAGTAAGATTGGAACTAATTCAAAGAAATACCTCGATTTTCGTAGAAATTTAGTTTTTATTTATCAAAATGTCATGGTTTGCACAATCAAAAGCTTTGATATAGTCACAAAAATCAGTGGCAGTATAAAGATTATTATTTAGTGTTTGATATACCTCATGTAGTACAGAAAAAATAGCATCGCTGGTACATTTATTAGATAAAAAGCCAAACTGACTTTGTAATAAAATGTTGTTTTCAATGAGAAAGGACATAAGTCGGGCTTTTATAAGTCTCTCAATAATTTTGGATAGGACAGGAAGTAAGGCAATAGGTCTATAGTTGCAGACATTACATTTGTCACCACCCTTATCAAGAGGAACAATAATGGCTGTCTTTAATCACTCTGGAAATATACCTTTTTCAAAAGAATCGTTAATTAGTGAGACCAGGACTTCCAACACATTATTTGTGAGATTTAAGAAAATGTTTATGGATAGTCCATTAGTACTACAGGAATATTTGCTTTTGATACTACTGATTGTTTGGATCAGTTCAGATTTATCAACTGGTCTTATAAAGAATGAATTCGAGACTTTTTTTGAATTGGGAAGATAGGAAATAGGATCTTGTGGCAAAATAGCTGATGTTATATTTTTACTCACATTAACGAAGTATTCATTTAGATTTTCAGGGTTTGGAGGAGAAAGTGGTTGAACTGTGCTATTTTTATTTCAAAAATCGTTTATTATGGACCAAGTTTCCCTTGCAACATTTTTAGAGCTTTCCAGACGATTCTCATAGACATTTTTTAACTGCTTTGATAAGTTTTAGATAGGTTCCTCTATACTTGGAGATAAATTCAGTGACAAAGATATTGGTAGTAAATTTCCTGATGTACAGTAGTGAACGCATATTCTTGGCTGACATGCGGATACCCTTGGTAGTCCAGGGTTTGTGATGTGTTGAGCTAATGGTAATTAAAGGAAATGCCTTATTGAAAATACAGACAAGCTTATTTAAAAAAATTGGTGAAATTATAGTCCACGTCCACAGAGGGAAAGTACCATCCAGAAGTCAAGCACAAATTTTGGAATTTACGAAAGTTCTGGGCTGAAAACATCCTACCTAAAGGTTGGGTTTTCGAGGATTATTTGTTAAGAATAATAAACTTGGTATATACTGCTTCATGGTCAAAGAGTCCTGCATTAATAATAATTATAGAACGTACATCAAGGGGTGAGAAATCTGAGATTTTAAGAGATGATTTGGGCTGCTATATTTTTATAGTTTATGTAATTATTATGGTTACTTTGCATTCGATACGCTTTTAAGGCTTCTGATCTTTTATTATTTTGTATGTATATTCCTTATCCCACCAATAAGGTTTTGAAATTGACGGAATAAAATGTTTTTATGGGATGGATTTGGAAGCAACTAGAGTGATAGTTTGAAAGAGTAGGGGCTGTCTTCTCATCGTTAGAAAGATTATTAGTTGATAAAAATGTAGATAATTGTTTCTCTAAATCTGTCTGAAATAGCTTCCAGTCAGCGCAGCAATCGTTCCATTTTGTTGATGGATTAAGATTAGTAATGAAGAATGGTTAATTCTATTTTAAGAGGAAAATGATCGGGTCAAAATGTGTCGGGATATACTTACCCGTGTATACGATTTATTAATGAACCTTAGGTGATTGTCAAATTAACGGCAGAATAATTCTCACTCGGGGCGATTCTAGTAGGTGTTCCGTCATTTAGAGAAAGTAATTCGAAAAAATCCATGCTTTCGACTAATATTCTACCATTATGGTCATCCGAGATCGAACCCCACATGTAATGGTGGGCATTAAAATCATCACAAAAAACTGTTTTTATAATCGAATTATTCAAATAAATGTATCCAATCAGCCTTTTCTACTCTGATGTCAGATGGATTATATATAGAAACAAAATATATATTAATTTTATTAAGTAATACTGCACACAATTCTATTCCGGTATTAAAATTATAGTTAATGTTAATTATTTGATAAGTAATGCCTATAGTATGAAAATGCCTACAATACCATAGCCACTTTAACGGTATTTTGAAACCAAATTATACATTTTCAATTTACATATTTAATTTAAGTTTACATATTGTGATTGTTAAATTTTAATTTCCCAATAAAAATCTTTTACGCCAGAATATATGCAACCAAACCAACAGAAATTTGTCTTCTAGAGCACAGAATACACCAATAACTGTTGGTACAATTTGTTGGTGTATTCTGTGTCTAGAACATTAATTATTGTCTGTGATTTCTCTGTTGTTTCCTATGCTGTGTCTCTATTTACAATAGTGCTTTAAAGAGAGACAGACAATTACCAGACAAAACAGTATAAATGAAAAGCGGTTGAAATTTTCTTAACCTCAAGTTTTGTAGTTTAGGGGGTTAGTTTATGTTTTTATTGAACATTATTTAGTTTTTTTTTAACGAATTATATAAATTAAAACGGTCAAAGTTTTCAACAATCAAAGTCGTAATTTATTCCTCTAATTGGCATTAGTTTTTATGTTTGGTTTCATTTGGTTATTTAACTCATATTAGATGTTTTAGGTTTAGAGTTTATAAAATATTTCAGAATGAGCCTCACGTAAGTAAAATTATTTACTAACATTGCCGATCTACTAACAAAACTAGCTTTAAGAAAATTAACTTTTAATAGATATTGTAGATTTTAACATATCTAAACATTATTTGAATAATAAATTCACACACACTTAAATTGTGGTCAGTTCTCTTTTATAGTATAAGCTCTATTAAAACTACAGAAATAGTTAATCTGGTTTAACTCAAAAGTAATGGATTTACGCTACGGGACACTACATTTAATGGATATTTACCTTTCGTATTAGACTGACAGGAAGTTTTTAGTACTAATTAGTGTATCAAAAATATCAGAATTTGAAATAAAGAACATGTCTTCACATTGGGCAGACTAGGGCCTAGTTTTTAATTTTTATAATTAATGTTTATTTAACAGAATAGCATGGTATTAATTATATAAAAATCTACGAAAATTAATAAACAAATATCTTCTATTCGATTTAAGTAATGATCAAGACATTTCACAAGAAAATTAACTATTGCCTCCTTCTTTAGAACAATTATTAGCGAGTTATAAGAGATTGGTTGGCTTATACTGAAACCAACAACATATTATACTGTTACGCCTGTAAATTATTTTCAAAGCAAACAACACTAATGACAAAGGGGACAAAAATGATTGGAAAAATGGTCATACAAAATTGTCAGTGCATGAAATCTCCAGTGACCACATTAACTCCATTGTAATTTTAATAACAAGATCTAAAATTACCTGAGCATTGATACTGAATTGGAAAAACAAATGATAAATGAAAAATAATATTGGAGTGTAGTACTTAAACAATGACATGTGGTAGCAACAATCAAATTTATTTCTTTATCTTCTTCAAGTTCCACTTCTATCGGAGATTGGAAATCATTCTGGCAATTATAATTTTATTGGTTACTCGCCTGAATAGTTCAATTGAACTGCATCCAAACCATTCACGGAGATTGCGTAGCCACGAGATTTTACGTCTTCCTACGCTTCTTCTACCTTTGATTTTACCCTGCATTATATTCCTTAGTAGTTCGTACTTTTCACCTCTCATGATGTGCCCCAAGTATTCCAATTTCCTGATTTTTATGGAATTTAAAACTTCGCATTGTTTTCCTAGTTGTTCGAGAACTTGTTCGTTTGTTTTGCGTTCCATCCATGATATTTTCAAAATACGTCGGCGTCGGTAACACCACATTTCGAATGCTTCTAGGTTTTTAATGTTGGATTTTTTAAGTGTCCAAGCTTCAACTCCATACAAAAGGGTAGAGAAAATATAACATCAAAGCATTCTTATCCGGAGCGATATATTGATATCGCGATTACAAAAAAGTTTTCTCATTATATTAAAAGTTGACCTTATTTCTTTTGTCTGATCAGTATCTTCTGTGATCCATGCTCCAAGGTATTTGTACGAAGATATTTGTTCAATTTCTGTATTATCTAGTTCTAGCTTAACTTTCATGTTTTGTGCTTTTGTAAATACCATGAACTTGGTTTTCTACAAATTGATTTTTAGTCCATAATCGTTGCAATATATATTTAGCTGTTCAGCAAGGTGTTGCAGTTCTTCTAGTGTTCCTGCCAGAAGGACGGTGTCGTCAGCATATCTTATGTTATTAAGTGGCTCACCGTTTATTATAAGGCCCTCACTGATCTCGGCAAGTGCTAATTCTGAGATGGCTTCACTGTATAAATTGAATAACAAGGGTGATAAAATACACCGTTGCGGACCTCACATCGAATCTGGATATCCTTGGTCAGTTCGTTTTTAACTTTCACTTTTGCTGTTTGATTCCAATAGAGGTTATAGATGATTCTAATGTCTCTACTGTCTATGTTTTTATTTAATAAAATTTTTTTAAGTCGATTATGCTGCACTCTGTCAAATGCCTTCTCAAAATCAATGAAACAGGCATATACTTCCTGATTAATATCTAAGCATCTCTGCGAAAGAACACTTACTGCAAACAGTGCATCTCGTGTTCCCAGTCCTTTCCTAAATCCCATTTGTGTATTACTTATGCCTTCATCTAATTTCTTATGTATTCTATTGTGAATTACTTTTAAAAACAATTTCAAGACATGACTCATTAAGGCTATGGTGCGATGTTCATTGCACTCCTTTGCATTGGCTTTTTTGGGAAGCAGTATAAATGTTGAGTGGAGCCATTCTTTAGGTATTATACCTGTTCTATATATGGTATTGAGTAGATCCAAAAGAAGATCAATAGACTCAGTATTCACAATTTTAAGTAATTCTATAGGAACTTCATCAGGCCCAGGAGATTTACCACCTTTAGCTTGTTTCATTGCATATTCAATTTCTTTTCGTATAATGTTATTATACTCTTTAGCATTTTGTGGTAAAAATGAAGAGTTTTTATGTGAGGATAATATTAATTATATAGGTCTTTGGCATATTTTAGAATTTTTTAATAATTTATCCTGTATCACAGATTTTTGAGATTCCTATGAATACATTTTATACTTTAACATAACAATGATATTTTGATTTTATTAATATTTCATCAATGACACCAAAATTTGGTTTTTTAATTTGTGAAACAAACCATCTAAGATGAATCTATGGAGAGGTGAATGACAATAGAGTGTGGGGAAGATTATACAACTTCAAACTTCATATAATATACCAGGAATCAGATATCATATAATATATTAAGATAGGAGGACATCTGAGGTGTGTAGGACAATGAAACAAAATGATCCAGTAAGAAAAATGTTTCTTGATAGACATAATGGTCAGAGAAGAAGAGGAAGACCCAGAACAAAGTTCTTTGATAACTTCGATAAAGACATGATAAATATGGGAATATCTACTTGGCGGAGGATGGTGATGGATAGCATGATATTATAACAAACAAGATATGCTCACTTGACATTCTAATTTAAATCGACTTTGCGCATGACGTCATAGCGAGACAACGCCGGTGACTTGTGTGTATCTTATTTTAACAATGCATCATATGGTAATGTTGTTCCATTACTGTAATGAATAACTTCGAAACTTAAACTGTTAACAGTAAGTATACCTCGATGCCATATCTTGCGCTAAGAAGTCAACTAGTTACTTTCTGTAAAAACAGAGTTTGAAAATGTATAACTAATATGTAAAATTAAACAAAGAAATATATGAATCTACGATTTGATTGTGTGTATTACAAATAAAAAAAATACTGCTATAAAACATAAATTAAATATAAAAGGCTGGTAAAATGTGAAGAATTTGAAACATAGAGGAAAAGCATGTCATACTTGAGATTCTATGAATATCATTTAGACATTTATTTTACAATCTTCGTGATTTTTCTCTTGCGGATATTCTAATTATCTTTAATATTTTTATTTAGAATTCGTATTTTAAAATACATTTTATATCTAAAAAAAAGTAATTTTACATCTTTGCTAACATTTACATATTTTGCAGCTTCTATTAAGTTTTTAAAATAATTTTTAGTTATTTTTACATGTCGCTGTTATAACTACGAAAAATATGTTCCAGTTCACTACATTTAGTTACAATTTTCAGAGTTGGTTTGAGTAAACCACCCTCAGAAACGTGGTTTACGCAAGTAAACAATTAATCGTTAGCATCCGGAATATATCCAAGTATTTCTTTTTTTGTAACTTACAAGCAATGAAACCGGCTAAATTTTTTAATCCATCCCATTCCAGGTCTTTTATATTTGAATTAATAAAATCTTGATTACTGTCAATCGGTTGAAGGTTTATACTATCAGTAGTAATATTTGCAGACTCTTAATATTGTTCTGAAGCTATTTTCTTGTGGCATTATAAATTAATTACTATTAAACTGGGAATAAGCCACAATTAAAGATAAAAATACGTTTATTGACGTTTCAATTTCCACTTCGGAAATCGTTCTCAAAATACAAACAGTAAATTAAACAAATTTTGTTTTTTGTTACATAGTGAAAAATTCTTCTAATAATTTAATTTTATCTGACTCATTTATATTGACAATTCAGACATACATTATGCATTTTAAAGTAGACGACTTTAAAATGATATTGCCAATATTGTTGAGTTGCGCTCCTGGAACGACTTTACTTATAAGATAGTTCATTCGATTACATGAAATCAACTTTAACTTGAGAATATCCGTCAGAAAAAAATCATAGCATGTAATTCGTCTTTAAAAAGACAAACACATGACATGATGACAGTAAAATTCTCCTGTTAGTGATTCCATAGTAAATTATGAGGGAAAAACCAGGAAAAAAACCTCATAATACTATCCCGACATTGTAAGTATTTGTTCGTGAATTTAGTTTACCTTCAACAAACATCAAAATTCTGATTTTATATGTTACGTTATTTAAAAAACATAAATGATGTATCCTCTATATGTTACTGACTTACTAATACTGGTATTTTCTTATTAATAACTTCCTCTTTCAATATTGGTAACCAGATCCTACTACATTCTGCCGAGGAATTTGCGACACAATTGGCCTCATTTAGCATAATTAGAGCCGCTTCTTTGATTTTTCTTTTTTTACCATCCGTTTCTTTTAGGACTATCATTTGAATTATTCCATTGAACCCTATGTTCATTATCCCATGCGTGTTTACAGATTTGAGATCTATCAAATTCTCTATTTTTAATATAAGATTGATGTTCACTTATTCTAACATTTAATGGCCTTGATGATTCACCTAAATAAAAATGATCGCATTCACAAGGTATTTTATAAATGCAATTCTTTGTCCTTTCTTGTTCATTGTTAGGTTTGGTTTTGGACAAAATAGATCTCAACGTGTTTGTTGTTTTGAATGTTGTTGAAATGTTGAATTTATTTCCTATCCTTTTAAGTTTTTCTGATAGTCCTTTTATGTACGGTATTGTTATTTTCCTCATATTATTCCTTGTGTATGCTGTAGGATCTCGTTCTAAGTTGTTCTGTTCTATTCGATCGATTGTTGAAAATTCCTTATTTATAAACGATAAAGGATAATCATTTTTTAATAAAACAGATGTTAACAAATGTTTCTCCTCCAAGAACGAATTTTCGTTAGAACAAGTAATTTTGGCTCTATCGTATAAGGATTTAATTATTCCCTTTTTTACATTAATATTGTGATTTGATTTGAAATTTAAATATCTATTGGTGTGTGTTGGTTTTCTATACACCTGAGTCTCATATCCAGTATCGTTCTTAGAGATTAAAACATCCAGGAAAGGTAGCGTGTTATTATATTCCTTTTCCATGGTAAATGTTATTGTCTCTTCTTTATCGTTTATATCATTTAGGAATGTGTCCAACAACTCTGATCCATGAGGCCATATTGAGAATACATCATCTACATACCTCCACCATACTGTGGGTTTGAAATTTTGTTTAGAAATGATATTTGTTTCAAAATCTTCCATAAATATATCGGCTAAGAATGGAGCTAAACTAGAGCCCATTGCTAGACCAAAATTTTGTTTATAGAATTCATTATTTAGTTGAAAATATGTATTATCAGTACATAATGTTAATAACTCCATTATAGCCGATATGTTTAGTCTTGTTCTAGTTGCCAATGAATCATCAAAATTGAAACGTCAATAAACGTATTTTTATCTTTAATTGTGGCTTATTCCCAGTTTAATAGTAATTAATTTGCAGACTCTGTCTCTATGTTTGCAGAAGTTAAAATAATTTCATCATTTTTACCCATTATATAATTTCTTAATCTATATTTAAACTCTATAGCAGTTGGATGATCATGTAGACCACCAATTGCTCTTAAAATTGAAAATAGGCCTTCTAGAAGGTCCTGGTTAAGATTGTAAGTTAATATATATTTTACATTCAAGTCATTTTTTAAGTCAACATAAAGATGTTTTAAAGATCAAATAGAAATAATTATCTTCTTAGGGTGCCTGTCCGTTCCGAACGCTGACGATCATTCTGGCTATGATGACTTTGTTGGTGGCTATACGAAACAGCTGTGTTGAGGTCTTTCTATACCATGCTCTCAGGTTAGAAATACAGGATATTCTTCTACGTCCTGGGGCCCTTTTTCCTTCAATTTTACCTTGCAAATTGCATTGAAATAGCTCATATCTGCCTTGATTTCTCATTATATGTCCCAAGTACTGCAGCTTACGGCCCTTCACGATGTTGACCAAATTCGCAGTTGTGTTCATCCTCCGCAATAATTCTTCATTGGTGACTTTGTCTGTCCATGGAATTTTCATTATCCTTCTGTATAGCCACAGAAGCTTTCTGTATATTCTGTATAGCCGTAAAAGCCTGTAGTTTTGATAAAGTTTCCGCCTTCAATGTCCACATTTCTACTCTGTACAGAAGCACTGAGTACACATAATATTTAAGCAGCCTTATTTTTGTTTCTAGGGTGAGGTCATGGCTCTTGAACACAGAGCTCATAGTCAAGTTTTTGCCCTTCCGATGCGACATTTAATCTCTTGGGTATTGTCCCACGACTCATTGATTATAGTTCCCAAGTAGTTGTATTGTCAGTCACATTCAATTCTCATTTGGTTCACATACAGATTTGCCCCAGCTATGTTTTCCTTGCTGATGCTCATTAGCTTGGTTTTGCTGGTGTTTATATCCAGTTCATATTTTCTACTTGTTTCCGTTATTTTGTTCATTAAGCTTTGCAGCCCTTCTATAGTATTGGAAAATACTATTGTATCATAATATGTAATATCAGAATAATATCAGAAATAATTATACCTCGCTAAAATCGAAGTAAAAAGTTAGATCCAACTTTTCTTACAGCTAATATTGTCTTCTGCATTTTATTTAAAATTTCATTTTGCTCTTTCAAATCCAACCTGTATGCTTTTATATGACTTCTAGAGTCACTGTGGGGTACTCCAGAATTAAAAATATTAAACCAATCATTAACAGTTTTGAAGAAGTCAGAGCATTCAAACCAGTTGTTATGGTTTGAGAGCACTCAAAAAGTCTTTATTTATTTTGTGAGCAATATTTAAATCTAGTTTTTCAGTGTTATTAAGTAACTCTAAAACTGGATTTGTATTAATTATATTAGGCCATTTAATTAAAAACCAAAGTCAAGAAAATGATTCCTTAACAATTTGATCCTATGTGGCGTATCCGCAAAAACATAAACATTTTGTTTGCTAATGGGATTTTCAAACTATGTATTTTGGTCACTTATATTTAAAACACTCCAAAGACTTCTATTATTGCCGCCTAAATCACTAATTGCGTAAACTGGGTATCCAATGTTTTCCAATTTTGTTATAATTTCAAACAATAGGACGATACAACAATACGAACAACAGTTCGTGATTTTACAATCATAATTGTAAAATATTGGTTGTTTGCAGTTGCCAAAAATTCCTCAAGCCATAACAACTTGAGCATACTTGCTTGGACCAAGTGTAGTGTCGTTTTTCTTATATTCATAAGATGTCTGAATTTTCATCTCTTCAAAAAGCAAAACACAGGCCTTCTCCATTTTAGAGGTCTCGTTGATTTTCGTCAGTGTCAGGACTGTATTTAATATACCTAAAAATATATTCGTAAAATGCCCTTAATTAAAAACTACAGTATATTACTTATTTTAAACTAAATATATTAATTCACTGAATTATCAAAATGTATTTACCTGGCTGCAAATTTATTTTACTTGCCCATCGTCTTAATCTTCCTGCAGGCGGAAGGTGGTAGCCTCTTTTCTTAAACGATAGGACCTTGACCCCGCAGCATACAAAGAAAGTGCCCAAGTAATATCTTCAATTGTCCATTTATTAATTTGTTTTTTAGTTTTTAGTTTTTTCAACTGTCCTTTAACAAAAATTTGTTCAATTCTACTTTTTACCTCCTCTCTTCTAAGAAGTTCCTTCAATTCTTCATTTTCAGTTGGCAAATTCTTTATTTGTTCCATGACTTTTTTGGCTATATTGTTTTCACTAAAATTAAATAATTTTTAAGTAGATCATAACTATTAATGTAGATTTTAAGAGTAGAATTTTTCCTCTTACATTACAGTTTGAGTAGCAATATCCTTAAATTTTTCGTCGCAATTTTCCTCTACTACTTTTTTTGCAATCTCATCTGACTCATTTGATATTTCACGTAGTAGTTCATTTATGTTTTCTCCGTAATAAAAGAAAATATATAAAGAACACATTTTACTACCACATTCGTAGTAAATCATATTTCCAAAGTGACTTTTTTTAAAGACCTATCAAAAATAAAGTATTACTTCAAATTAAGAGTTCTATTAAAATGGCCATTAGTATCTATAGAAACATTTGCTCTTCTGTTAAAGTGTGTACAAAACCAAAATACATGTTTTTTAATACATTTCTTTTCTCCGTTCTTCTTTTGCGTCTATTTTCAGGCGATGTTTTAGCGCTTAGGGTTTTTATTAAATGAAGAGAATTTATGGCATCATGTCTTAACTTCCACTGTTAGGCAATCCCAATAACTTTTCTTTTAAACAATAGTCAGCTTCTGTAAAATGTTTTGAGCATATTCTCGCGGTTTCTACATTAAATTTGTCTCGCTGAAAATACTTGGAGACCCATACTTTACGCATTTGTTTGTCTCTAGGAAACATAAAAAACGATACGTCGAAAAAGTTTTACTTTTTTTATTATTATTGTTTAAACAATCCACCACCGCACAATACATTAGGACAAACAAATAATTAGTCGTCTTTATCAAGTTGCTACAGGTAGTCAAGAGGAAGTTGCATACGATAAATAAATTAGGTGATATTAACACAGTAAACTGGATGTTTTCACCACAAAATTTATATAACAATATAATATACAAAGTCTTTACTACATCAATGAATAAATAAAAATCTCATTCACTACGTTTTGAACAGGACGCACACAGAATAGCAAACTCGATTAACACAGCAACATAATTAACATGAACACAGATATAATTTAGCGAATTTAACTTGGAGTCATTAAAGTTGTCTCGGGCTTACGTCACAGGTGTGCGAGAGAGATGCAAGAACATGTGTGTTGTCTTATCTTATTTGTTATAGTATCATGATGTATAGGAACAACTAGAGAGAAATTCTTGAGGAGACTAAGACACATGTAGGGTTGTAAACCCAGAATGATGATGTTGAAATAAACTATCAGATGATCTGTTGATAGACCTTTCTGAATTAATATTTCTTCTTCTTCATGTAGTGCTTATCCATTTTGGATACAGGCAACTATCATGGCAATCTGTATTTTGCGAGCTGCTGCTCTGAAAAGATTTGTGTTGTTGTGTTGAACCACATACATAGATTTTTCAGCCAAGAAATCCTTCGCCTTCGTGGTCCTCGTTTTCCTTCTACTTTTCCTAGTAGAATTAATTGCAGCAACAACCCATATATTTCGCTCTTCCTAATGATGTGACTGAGGTATTTGATTTTGGCTGTTTTATTATGGTTAACAACCCTTTTCCTCTTTGCAACAAGTTATGGTTGTTGGTGTAGTTGGTATAGAATATCTTCATGATTCTACAATTAAGCCACATTTCGAAAGCCTAAATTTTCTTGGAGATAGCGTCTGTGAGAGTAATCTACTCAACGCCATACAACAATAGAGAAAAGATATTACATCATAGTAACTTGATTTTTATTGGTACTGATAAATCATGGTATTTGAAGCATTTGAAGGATTTTTTTGAAACGCAGATCTAGCTTTCTCTATCCTACATTTTATTTCTAGGGAATTAATATTTGCAAAGTTTTCACTTGTAAGGTTTCTAATTTTCTGGCACTATTCATTATATATTATGTAACATAAAATAAAATGTGCAGTTTTTTACTTTTCTTGATATTTGCAGGATATGGATGAGGGTGTATCCCATCATTGGTCCAAAGGAACAACATGTATCAGAATATGTAGTTAGAGAAGTAATGGATATCTGTAAGCAAAATATTACAGATGTTCTACAAATATACAAACCCTATACTAGAGAGAGTTTTATACACTGGAAAGACACTTATTCGTGTAAGGAAATAGTGTCCGATGATGAGATGTGCAGTTTCATTCATACTTTGAGTAGAAGAATGGTATAAAGTCATAAATATATTTATAGTATAGTATATTATTTTAAGATATTAATTTTTGTATTAAGTAAATAGTATTAAGTATAATTAAGTACAGTGTAATTACATGGTTACATTACATAAATGCTAATATATTTTGCTTCATTATGCAACTTTGGTAATTGGTATCCTTTCACTAGACCTGTACAAGATCTTTCACTAGACCTGGAATGAGCACCATGATTACATGAAAAATATACAATAAGCCAATTTACTGCAGTATGACTAGTTTATGGCTTCCAAAAAAGTGAATCCATTCAGCATGTCACTTCGTTTTCATATTCGTTATTAAACTGGAGAACTTTTTTTCAATTAATATATGGACTATTTGATTTGTCCTGTTTGAGCCTGGAATTTTCTATGTTCCTTTCTCATTAGTTTCATCTTTTGTTCCATTGCAAGTCTAATCATTCTTTTATCATTTGTATTCATATGCTTACTTTCACTCCTGTTATACCTGCACTCTTTTCCCACTTTTGCGTTTATGTCACCTAAAATAACATCTTTTTCATAAATTTCATCTTTTACTTCATCTTCTCAATTCATATCCTCAATTATCAGATATATTTGTACAGCTAACAATGTTACAATTTTTTCTTTTTTAGGTTGCTGATAACTTCACTTTAATCTTTATCATTTAACACACTCTTAAACAAAGTGAGACTTGTACTATAAAATATTCACTAAACTAACTAACTACTTGGGTTTATTTATACACACAAATTGCATATTTTTTTTCATTACTATTCATGATTTTTGACAGCCTGCTCACACTGTTGTCAAGTCAAATTTTTTATACCTAAATCAAACAACACAGTCAATTGTACAATCATATTTCTTGTTTGAAAGGATTGAAATAAAAGGGGTCTAAGTGCAATTTTCTAAATTTAGAGTCAAATTCAGATTTACATACATAAATAATATAGTTTTATTAATTTTAAAATTTATCCTAAAGCTTATAAATAAAAAGTGGTACTGTAGGAGGTATTGTAGACTAGCATGAAGCTTTATACTATGTTTTCTGTATTTTAAATTTTAAACATTTTTAAAATTAAGTTAGATAACATCCTTGTTGTAGATTTTAATAAAATTGAAAAAAATTACTCTCCCTTTGTTGAGTAAATGAACTCTTCCAACTATTTTGTGACGATCGCCTCAGCATTTTACCATAGAGAAAAGTTAATACAATTCCAGTATAGAAGATTTGCTTCAAAATAAGTTTATAAACAATAAATTTGCAATAACTAATTGTTTTTTAGATTCAATACAGACAGTTTATAGTCAGGTAGGATAAGTGCTGAGTAAAATTTATAAAAGTTAACTTTGTCAAAGTCGTATTTTTTTATGTTAGGTAAGAATAAGTTATGCTTCCTATGACGATAAATTAGCTTGTTCGCAGTACATTTCTAAAAGGAAAATCTCAAAAAATTTATATATTAAAAAATTTCAGCAATTTTAAAAAAATGAGTAGTGGTATGCCCTTGCCCCATTAAATGGGGCAAGTGCCTAAACTGATGAAGTACGTGTACGCGATTATATTAGTTTAGTTTGGGGCAAGAGCTGAACCTTTGTATCTTTAGTAAAAAAAAACGGTTTTCAAACATTTTTAACATTCATTTTATTTAAAAAGTTACAGTGTTTTAATGTTTGTCCTTTTTTTTTTAAATAAAAAACGAATTTATTTTTTTTCTTAAAGAACAAGTGAAAAATACTTTATTACTCAACAAAAATTTCAACTCTCGCAAAATTTTACTTCTATCTTCAACTTGCTGATATTGAAACGATGTAAAATATTTAGTTTCAGACACTTTTCTTACATACTTCACAACAGGTTCATCGTTAATCTCAGTGATTTGGCCGACAAAAAACTTAATTCTTTCCATTCCATCTTTCCATCTCTGAAAAGCATCTGAATCAAATGTTTTCTCGGGGACTACTTTATTGGTAAAGGGATATATTTCTGCTTTTCTGAAACCATTTGAAATAATTTCGCCTGGAAGACTAGTCCATATTTTTCTCAAGAGTACAAAAAATTCGGCTTTTGGTAGTTTTTGACCAATATGCAATCTTTGCCATGATACCAGTAAATGATCCCATCTATCTTTAACTGCTTTTATTGCCGTCAAATCAAGCGGCTGGGGAATGTGGCTGCTATGCGGCGGTTTTATAATCGTCACTTAAGTATCAATTTTATTTGGATAAGGTTTAGGGGTTGCATGAACGGAGGTTTATGACGTACATGACTCACATGCCCATCAAAAAATGCATCCATCCATTGGGTGAGGCAGCATAGGTAGTTTCGGGAAATGCTTTTCCCTCTGGAGGCATCATATGTGTACATATATTTGTTTTACCTTAAATATAATCAAAGGAGGGGCTTTTTCACCTTTCGCATTGCATGCGAAAAGCACTGATGTATTTTCTCTGTCGGAAGTGCTTGTCGTCTGGTCACCTTGGCACCTTTTTTTTCCGACGTCTTTGGTTTTTGACGGATCGGAAGAAAAACTTGTTTCATCCAAATTCCAAATTAAATGTGGTTTGTTTTCAATACCCAGATTTTTAATGATTTTTAAAACTAAATCTTCTTTTTATATAGACATGACTCTGTCTGTTTTTTAATGTGCCTCCAGTAAGTTGTCATTCCATCGTTTTCGTGATCTTCCTACTGATCGTCTTCCTATTGAGGAACCGTCTCTTGCCGTATTTACGACTCTGTTGTCATTCGGTTTATATGATCGTTCCATTCTACTCTTCTATTTCTTACTCAGTTTTTGATGTTCTCCACCTTGCATCTATGTCGTATATCTGTACTTCTAGCTCTGTCCCGTAGTGTCTTACCATCAATTTTTCTAAGTGTTTTCATCTCTGCTGGTTCTAACATCCTTTTTGTCCTCTCTGTGTCAGCTCATGCTCACTTCTTACCTCGTCTTCATTTAATGCGATCGAGTAGAGTATTTAGAGGAGTTTTGTGTAATTTACTTGTCGCATATGCAGAATACCTTCCATTTTTAACATTCTCTATAGTCTGAAGAAGAGTTTCCTTGGAATAATTCTTTGCCTCTTTCAGATTTTCGAATATATTTTCGAACCACAATATTTATTTAGTCTAACCTAAAAATAAACACTTTACCGCCAAAAGTACACTGTAGAGTAAGTGCCTACTACTAAAATTACACTGTGAGGCAAGTAAGTACTACTACGCACTTTCCGTCGTATACAACTACGGTCTTACCTTTAAATAAGAAAGCAAATCAAAATAAACGGTTATTAAAATTTTCCCTAGTTATACCAAAAAACTAACTATTCCATTAGATTCTACGTATTTAATAGTGTATACTTACCGATTATTTTATTTAAAACAACAAAAACATCAGCTTAATCTGTCACGACAAAAACACAGAGTACAACTATGCACATCAGGTTACAAATAATCACCCGGTAAAAAAGTTTTCAACGATCAGCCGGTAAGTCGGCCAGCGCCACTCTTTGTCAAGTAGCTCAGTATATTTGTAGGTAGAATATTCTTATTTCAGATTCCTTCTATTTAATAGACTAATACATATTCAGGCTTATAACGCACTTGCCGCAAAAATGCTCTTGCCTCACCTGACCCTAACCCAAAATAACAAATTATGACAAGTTTTGATAATTTTTTCATTAAAATTATTTAAAATATTCAAAGATACTTGCATTTTAGACTCATGTTTATTTGAATCCTCTGTCAAATCTCCACATGTTTTTCCAGCACTATCATCACTACTGTATTAATCTTTCACAGATAAAAAATGTGGTTCATTCGAAATTTTCAAAATTTCAATTAATAGTATAATAAAAATGAAAAAGTTTAGATGTTATATAACGGACTCGCCTCGTAGACTAATTGGACTCTTCCTACTATTAGTGTCGCTAATTTTGTAACGATCGCCTCAGCATTTTACTATACAGAAAGGCTAATAGTAATTTTTGTATAAAATTTTGTAAAAATAGAAACATTGTAAAGCTTTTCATGTTCTTGATTAAATGTACTCATACTTAAGATGTTCACTACAAGTATTTGGAACCAGGTCATACATTTATGGAATGCGACAGTGATTTTATCATAATCGAAAAAGTGAAGTTTAAGAATCCACAGGTATTTGTTCCAGAGCACGGGGCCCACCAATTCAATCATCTTGCAAACAGTTTAACATACACGTACATTGGCTATCAACTCATTTATCCCCTGATTTATTTCCTACATTGGGAATGATTTCGTAAGTTGATCAAAAATGCATTGATTTCAATATTAACAAACCATAAATCATATCCTACAATGTATAACCAAAACAAATGAGTAAATTATTTGGACGAAAAATTTTCTAAAAGCCCTTCGAACAGTTACAGAACCTGAAGACGTCCTTTAGTAATCTTTTTTCGTTTTCTGTATGTGCCTGTACTATCCTACAACGATGTTACAAAGGTAATAAAGAAATAAACGAAAACTGTGTGTTTGCATTAGAAGTAGCGAAACAATTAGTGCAGGATCAAATGAAAATGTGGTTGATAAATAAAATACTCTAGGTTAGACATCACGTGATCACTATTGCAAGGTTACTTGACATATCAGAAGAAGAAGCAACTAATGGGAAAACCTTTTACAGAGATGCGGTAAATGTTGACTTGAAATTGCATCATCTTTTAATCTGCGATAACGTTTTGGTGTGTAATTTAATATTTTATGCTTTAAATTAATTTTATAGTTACTCTCTACGAAATGTCTAGAACACACAACTGAGTTTTTCACCATAAATTTGTCTTTTCTACTCGTTAAATGGATCCACTTTTTACAGAGTTCTTTGGAAAACTGAAGAATTTCATTTCTGGGCAAGGATTTTTCTTAGATTGGTTGTCAGATCTACATTGAAAAACTGCATAACCCATATTCAATGAAATTATTCCTAACGTTACACAAAATCTTCAAAATGTTTAAAGAACACCAAGTTTGACGTTGAAGACACGAAAGAATGCGAAAACATTAGGAATTTGAGATCACTCTGTATCGCCATGTTAGAGTGTTAAGATTCCGATTAAAAGTCACACAAAGTCTCTAACTTAACATTATAGTTTAAAGGAATATTATTTATAGTATAGTTCGATTAATATGTTTTATTCCTTGTAAAAAAACTTTGTGACATCATTTATCTCTATTTAACATTAAGTTATTAACTTGGTACCAGTGTCACAGTCTGTTGAAGTATCCTCGTGAAGTATTTGTATCACGATAAATCTTCCTCTATATCTATATAATTTGATATCAGAAAAAATCAAAACAAGTGATCCAAGACTATCACATGTCATTTTTGAACAAATTGACTGGTGAACAATGTCCACCCTATGGTACTCCTTATAAAACTTCAACAATCTCATATATATGTTACTGAATGCAATAGTAACTAAATTCAAAAAATTATCGGTTTCATAGATATGAAGGTTGATCTGTACCATTAACTAATTTGTTTCTTATCCTAAAGATGGCTCTACTGCGTCAAGCTGTTGTGGTAAAATTTTCAATTTAATTGTAGACTTCTACATGATGACTCTGTAATATTTACAAATCCTAACATAAATTACAGTTTTCTATCGTTACATCTATTGACTGAGTTGCCAAATTGTGTAGACAGTAATTTTATCAAATACCTAAAGAATGTAACGATAACTTAGTTACTAGTAAACCAAGTAAGCGAAGATATCTTTTACAACATCTTTATGTATAATATTTGACTGCTCTGCTGTGTCAATCAGCCGTGCTCAACAAGATTTCGATTTAGTTTATTGAAATGGAATATAATATATCGTATTCATACAGTTAATTCATTAACGAACATTTTTTAATGATTTTTGTTTAATTTTTTGTGAATTATAATGTAGGTTTACCAAATAATTAAATTAATGCCTTTATAAGAAATTGTTATTAGAAAAATAAGGTTCCATCTACACATATCATTAAAAAATGACTCATGTTATCCCAAGACTGTAATCGATAAAGAAATATTTATCTACTACGTCGGCGATATCTGTGAAGATCATGTTACCGTTAAATTCATAATTGCCATCATATATTACATTTTTGCTGATGGTTAAAAATTAAATGATCTGATATTATTTAATATCTTAGTGGGAATTACATTTAGGTAAATGGCCAATCCTCAAAAATGTTATTTGAAACATGCGAACATTTCTTCCTTTTGGTCTGTTTATTACTGGTTTCCGGTTTGTTATCTTCCTAATTAATGCCTCCTTCTTCTCTTCTTTGTATGTGTCCAAACCATATTAGTCTTTGTGAATTAATAAATTTTACTATGTCTTCCTTTTTGGTTATATTTCTTATTTTATGATTCATTAGTCTTCTATATTCTCCCTGTGCTGTCTTTATTGGGTCTTGTATTATCATAATTTTTCTTTCAATAATTCTTAAATTTTCTTCATATTTTTTCGTAAGATACATTACTTCCGCTACGTATGCTATCACCGGTCTAATTGCTGCTAAATAAATTTTTGTCTTTGTTCTTTTACTCAGGTTTTTAGTGGGTGATATTTCCAAAATACCCCTTTCCCTTACTTCTGCACTCCTTCCATTTTCGCTCTCCACTAACACCCCCAAGTATTTAAAGTAATTAACCCACTGGAATTTGTTTTCACCTATTAATATTTCTGTTGTTCACTCTTTTGTACTTATTAAGTATTTTGTTTTATTCCACACCATTGAAGGTTGTTCATGCTTTCACTAAAAAAAAAAACATTCAATAAGTATATTAGTCTCTATTGCTGGTGATGATCCAATTTTTTACCAAATATGAGTAGGTTTCATAGTTTATTTTCTTTCACTAAATTGCAAATCTACCACAATACATATTGCGAATCTCTATAAAAAGTAGTTTTTTTGTATGAACTCCAATAATGCACGCTTTGCCGGATTTTGACGTGTATTTATATCCATACGAACGGTGACTCTATCCACCATCAACAACCACTGCACATTGACCAATTCCTCCTGGTGTCACGTTTTGGGTTTCTAAAGCTTTCTGGTATTCTTTCTCTTCTGCTGTTTGAATTGAATCAGTCAATCATTGCTGCCACGTTTCTCTTAGTTCTTGCTGGTATTTATTAAATGTGTGAAAACCCATTGGCAGAATACCTAACACTGATAAACAATCCTCTACTAAATTATATCCTTTTCCAATAGTCTAAGTACCCTACGTCGCTATAAGATTCAAATTGTATTTATCCCAGTTCGTATGAATCCATTTTTTCATTCCACGTGCAGCACATTTGGAAACGAATTGAGAATTTAAACTCATGGCGACTTCTTTGTCAAATGCAAAGAATCCAGTTTTTACATGGCATTCATAACTCTCTAAGGATCTCGTTTCGGTTATAAAGTGGCTGATATCGATTATTCTTCTTCGATAAAGAATATTTAGTTTATTATCGTACGCACCCGGTACTCACACTACTTCAATGTCCAAATGTTCTGTATTGGAATATGATGTTGGGGTTGTCTGACCAATGTTTAGAATATAAATATAAAATAATCTCAAAAAAGCTTACATAACACTGATTCAATGTTATATTATTGTAACATGTTAAAAAATCTAGTTTCGAGTTATATACGTCACAATAAATGACACAAAGAATATATTACGTAAGACACATCAGCATAAAAGTGGACCCGATTTGTTTACATATTTTTTTTGAAATCTACTTTTTCGGTTTTTTTTGGTTATTATGAACAAAATATCTAAAAAGTTAATGGTTCCCTTGTTATAAACAATTTAAAATAATAAAAAAAAACGAAATATGACAATTTTTAAGGATCAAAAACACAAGTGGGAATTATTGTTTGATAATAACTGACATATCGTACTTCGACGAACTATTGTCGCACCTTGTATATACAATATATACATATATGCACTTATAGATATATTACTTGTAGATTGTTGATTTTATGGCATGGTACTTTCAAAACAAAAGTTACAGTATCTACTATTCTGTAGGTTTCAGTCATGACCGGTTCAAAATTCAAACCGATAACATTTTTATTAAATTTTGTTGTAATCTGCCAAAGTGTTGTACAAAGTAATTGATATGGCAACGCTGTTGCCATATCAATTACTTTGTTGTACTGTTGTCGGAGCCGACAGTAATGCCATCTATCAATGACAAATATTACCGATGTTTCAGATGGATTCGCCTCTCTACAACACAATTTGATGACGGCAGTTCAAGATATAATTCTTGTTTAACCAGATTTTTCATATGTTTACGAAAAATATTAACGTTTTGATTACAAATATTTTTCACTTTCATAGTTTTATGTATGTTGTTATTAAAATTTTGTCCGGTTTCTTACCGGTAGCTTTATTATAAGCCGGAACAAATTATTTTTTCTTATTGTGGCAAAACTGTATATTCAAAAAAGTATTTCTTATGATTATGCTGTAAGAAAATTAACAAAATTGTATATTTGGTTTTCCCGCTTTATACTTTGAAAAAAGTAGTTTTTTGAGTTTTTTCGAAATCGAAAACATAAAGTTTGCTCAAAAGCAGTTTCTAATTCGAATAAATTAAAATATTTTTTATGTTTATATTATGTGTTCTTTTTTTTAGAATTTGTCTTCAAATCAGACTTGGGACACGATTTGCAACTTTCTAGTATATGAATACCATGGGAAACGAGATGAATTGAAGAATATAATTAGGTTTAATTCAAAACTTGATATCTTAATTGAGCGCATATGGGATTTTTACTCGCTAGAACGACTGTTCCTGGTAAAAACCCTTAGGCACATTTTAGAAAATGCTGATAATAAGTCTGATAGGCACCATAAAAAGTTTCAGGCATTTATAAACGCTGTTGATATGTCTAAATTGTGGAAGATGTCTGTTGAATCATTTCAAGAAGTGACCAAAGAAATCAGTAAGCAATCAAGTCATTTAGTTACGGAAGATCTTTTGAAAGAATGGATTCATAGAAATAACAGGGAACAAGTAGAAATGGCGTTTATATTGATAAATATGTTACCCCATTATAAACCAGTGTCGGGAGATATCGAAAAAGTTCTTTCTATTTGTATCAGACATTTTTTTGGTAGAGCTCCTTTGTATCCAGGTGCTTTAAAAATATCTAGAAAAGATGATTTAGTGGAAATAAAAAATTCTGAAATTGTTTTGGTTTTAGCCCTGTTTCAGAAGGTTTGGTAAGTACAGTTATCATAATTTTACTATTTTCCAGTATACAATATACTGAATTTTTAGGAAAATACCAGAACTATTAAAAAAATTTGAACCGGCTCTGGAAGAAATGTTGGACTTTCTCAAAAGACCAGGAAACGATGATATTGTTTTTTATACGTGGTCATTATTCAAACTTACTTCTAGAGAGAATACAGATAATGAAAAAAGAGGAATTTTTGTAGATATTGAGGTTGTTTTGAAGAAAGGACTTTTTAAATCTCTCTATAAGGTCATGAAACATAATATGTTTCAGGTAAGGACATTTTTTTTATACGATTCCTATAAAAATATTTATTTTAACAGGCCATATATGACTAGGGTCCAATTTTTTTATTTCTTTATTAACTAGTTCCGCCGTATGAGTTTATTTTGCAAAAATTATTGAATTGATTTCGGAATTTGAAGGTCCTAAAGGTTGACTTTAATATGGGAAATAAACTCACAAAAAAACCGTTTTTTAAATGTTTTTTAATATTTTTCCAATAATAAATGTTATGGTTTGAAACTAGCATTATCTTTTGTAAAATTCAATTATAAATCTGTTATGTCGTTACAAAATTGTTCTAAAACTAATAGTCCTTGAGATATACACGAAGAAAGGATGAAAAATATCGAATTTTTAAAATTATTTTCATATTTTGTTTAACCCATTAATGCCCAGAACTATGAAGTATTATTGAAACCATTCAAATCAATGTTTTGTGTTACAGAATTATAAAATATGACATCAAAATTGTTTAAACATTTTTTGATATACAGTTTTATTAGTTAGAGAGTTTATAACGATTAGCAGATGCTCAGAAAACCGGAGAAAAAACCACCAAAATAAACATCAAAAACCTAAAAGACGACAACTGCCAACAGCAACTAAACGCAGAGATAAATAAATTAACTGAAGGAAGCGTGGAATGGGCAGATATGAAAAAAGCCATACTAAAAGCGGGAAAAGAAGAAGAGAAAACCACTAAAAAAGACCGGATGATACCGGAAATAGTTGAGGTAATAACTGAAAAAAGAAAATACAAAAGTAAAGATGGAAATAAATGTAAAACCTTCAAGAATAAAATCAAATATGAAATCAGAAAAGCTAAGGAGGAATGGATAAACAAGAAATGCCAGGAACTGGAAGAACTCAGCAACAAGCATGACACCTCAAACTTACATAAAAAAATGAAAGAACTTACAGGCAACACCAGACAAAGAAGAACACTCATAACAAAATATAATCATGGAGGAATACTTACTGAAGAGAGCAAAATAAAGAAAGTATGGGAACAATATATAATCCATCTGTTCCATGACGAGAGGGAAAATGAACAAGATATAGGTGAAGAAGAACAATACCTACAAATTTTACCCTCAGAAGTAAAGCATGCTCTACAGATTGCAAAACAAGGAAAAGCACCGGGTCCTGATCAAATTCCAGTTGAACTGTTAAAAGCCTTAGATGACGGTAATATAAAGAGACTCACCCGAATTTTCAACCACATATATGTAGAGGGCAAAATCCCGGACGAATGGCCTAAATCGATATTTTACCTCTACCAAAAAACAACAATCCCAAATCATGTAATGACTTTAGATTGATAAGCCTAATGTGCACCCCTTTAAAGATTCTCTTGAAAATTGTTCAAAACCGAATTTATAAGAAATCTGAGGAGCAGATAGATCAAACGCAGTTTGGCTTCAGAGGAGGCATAGGTACAAGAGAGGCATTATTTGCGTTGACGCTACTCTTGCAGAAATGTCGGGAATATAACAAGAGTGCATATTTATGCTTTATAGACTTTAGGAAGGCCTTTGACCGTGTGCAGGATATGAAGTTAATAGATGAATTAAATAACATCAATTAGAAAAAAAAGACATTGAGTTTTTTAAGGCTATATACTGGAACCAGAAAGCAATAGTAAAGGTGAATGGTATAGAAACAAATAATATACCGATTGCGAGAGTGGTCAGGCAAGGATGCGTCTTGTCTCCGACGCTTTTCAACGTGTACTCATAGGTCATATTCAGAAAAGCCTTATGGGAAAGAAAAGGGGAATAAGAATTGGTGGAGAAATCGTAAACACCATGAGATATGCAGATGACACGGTAATTATGGCTGAGAGTATAGAAGAACTACAAACTTTACTAGATGCAATAAATAGTGAATGCATTCAAATGCGACTTGACATCAACACAGATAAAACCAAATTTATAATTAGTCCAAAGAAAATGCAAAAAAGTATTTTTGAAGTGTGTATATTTTAGGCAATTCCTAGCTGAGCGCTTTCGGCTTTACAAAGCCATCATCAGAGCTATGGTCAATCATTGACCATAGCTCTGATGATGGCTTTGTAAAGCCGAAAGCGCTCAGCTAGGAATTGCCTAAAATATACACACTTCAAAAATACTTTTTTGCATTTTCTTTGGACTTGTCATAAGTGTGTACAAAAAATATCAGTCTTTTGATTTTCAAATTTATAATAGTATCAAGGAATCCAATAAATACTGAACAACTAACCCTTGGTTAACAGCAAATAGAGAGACTGACAAAATATAAATATCTGGGAGCTTACATCAACACAGAATTAGATCCAGACCAAGAGATCAGGATACGAATAGAAATGGCAAGGGCAGCGTTCTTAAAATTCAAGCAATTGTTCTGTGACAAAAATCTGAATACTGCGCTGAAACTGAGGTTTGTTGATTGTTATGTCTGGTCCCAACCAGGGTAGAAACATGGACGTTAAAAGCGCAAATAGTTAATAAGCTTGAAGCCTTTGAACTTTGGATATACCGGAGAATGTTGAGAATTCCATGGAATGTCAGGGTCACCATCACCAATGAGGAAGAGCTGAGAAGGATGGATCGGAACAAAAAATTGATCAGAACAATAAAAGTTCGCAAGACTGTATCCCTTGGACACATACTGAGGAATGATAAATATAGTCTTCTGCACGTCATCATGCAGGGTAGAGTCGATGGCAAAAAGAGAATAGGTAAAAAGAGGAAGTCATGGTTGCGAAATATTTGAGACTAGAGAAACATGACTGTAGACGAATTATTCCACGTTGCAAAAGACAGAGAAACTTTTAGAAATATGTCGCCAACCTCCGTTAATGGCATCGAGCAAAAAGACAAAAGAGGCAAATTAATCGTTATGAAAAGGAGACCAAAAATGTGGCCTCTGATGGCGGACATATCCGAAAATGCGAATGCGCCCAATTTAAATTTTCCGATACTTATTAACAGTACTTTATGTGACAGTTGGGACAAACAATAACATAACCCAACTAAATTTGATTTCTTAAACAAGGAAAGACTCTCTTTCCTTGTTTAAAGTGGCCTCTCAAGACGGCACTTCCTGTCTAACAATATTTTTGTCCTCACTACCTTTCCATTCCCTCTTTTGTCTTTTTGCTCGATGGTTAATGGCGACGGCATATAAAGAAAAAGAAGTTTGAGAGTGGGTCGTTAACGACCCCTTGGGCTCTTACTGAAATAAAAACTAACATTAAGTTTTTCTTTAATTTATTGAAATTCGTCAAAACATTTATCGGAAGTGGAATTTGACAATTTGTACGTGCTTTCTTAGTTTTATTGTTACATCTTGGGAACGAACATCTTCTTGTCTATTGGCATACTTTCAAGTGGCGGCTTTCTGAGGTGGTATTGTACACAGAAGCTCTCTTTGGTACAGTCATTTTCGGTTTAACTCCATATTTTTTTAAAAGATACAGTGTGCAATTTCTCTCCTACAATGCAGATTGTCTTGATAGTATCCATAAGAGCGGTCTAGTTGATAAGCATGAGTAACATATAAATTAATCATCCAATGCGATATTGGGGTATATATTTTTCCTCATAGCAATTCTGTAATTGGATATTTTATTAACTATTTGATCTATATATTAATAAATATATATTGTATATATATAAAAAGTTATATAAATATGTATATATACATGTGGGTCTTAGTAATTGTACAAAAAGAAACCGATATTCTACACATAAAAATATTAGGATTTAAGTCAAGTTGCTTTAATAAAATGTTAATATTAAGAAAGATACAGGTGTTAAAGTGGAAATTTAAAAATTTATTTTTTGTTATAACTTTTATGTTTGTCAACATTTATGTATCAAAATTTAACAACTAAAGTAGTATTAAAATATCAGAAACTTTAATTTGATGTATACTTTGATGTATCAGCAGAGGGCGCCACATATGTCACATACGTGGCATATATTGCCTTAACTTTTTGCTTATCAAGTATATGGTAATTTTATTAAAAAATATTAAAAGATAACATATATTAACAAGAAAACGGTATACACTTTAAAATCCCCAAAACTCAAACAGTTTCTAGATAATCGCATTTTAGAAATCACTACATAATTCTGATTTAACTCAATTACTCCAGACAACGAAAGAAAATTAAAGAAAAACATCAAGACTACTTCTGAATTGGTATAAAATAACATTAATAAAGTTAAATAGTTAACGAATTAATAAATAAACTAAATATATCAGCAGGTAAAATAACAGGATTTGATCAAATAACAAATAATGATTTAACCATCAAACATTTACGTTTTGTATTAAATTAAGGCAGAATCAAAACATTTATTATTTACAAACAAATTAAAAATAATTAAACTAAAAAACGTTAAAAACTTTTTTGTCAAGTAAGTGTTTCAATATGTCCACCATTTTTCTTTAATTCATTTTTGTCAATACACATACCATAAAATATCGTCTCCATATTAAATAGCATCATTGGTTCTCTAAAGAAACTGCTGCAGTATTTATATAGTGTTATACGTACAATCAATGTTCATTTTTTTTGAAATTTTTATGATTACATAATTATATTAATATCTTACACAAGAATATAACTACCACGAAACAATCCAACGTCAGGAAAGTTGTTTCTTAAGACACTGTTTCACCTATATCAACTTTTCTCTGTAACGTAATGTGTACCATCTTGTAGAAACCACATATTTCGCCTTAAGTTTGATGACATTCTTTGAATAAATCAATAAAATCTTTTATAAAAAATGTTTAATAAATCCGACATCAAATTGCAAAGTCATTTGCATATCCGTAAAAAATAATTTTAACCAATGATTCCAAACTATAGAACATGCATTTTAAATAGCATTTTGAATGAAATTTATAGATATGGCGAATTACCTTGCAAGTTGGATGGTCAGATTTATTTTGGATTATATAAATGATTTTATTGGTTTATTGGAAGAATTGTCATCAAACATAAGGCTAAATATTTGGTTTATGCAAGAATGGTACACCCCAATACATTACAGAGAAGGGGGAGTGAGAGGTATTTAAAAAAAACTTTCCAGACACGTTGGAATTGTTCGTGATAGTCATATTCCTTGATAATGGGAAGATATTAATAAAATTATTTAATTCATTAAATCCCAAAGAATACCTATTTGTTTTATACTGTTATAAAAAGTACTGCATCCTGTTTCTTTTAAGAACCAATGATGCTAATTTAATATGAGACCAATATTTTATAGAAATGTATTAACAATAATGAATAAAAAAAATGGTGGACTATCGAACACTTACATTGACAAAAAGTTAAATTTTATATTTAGTTTAAACAATTTATTATTTGGTTGTAATCAAATGTTTTTTATATGACTTTAATTTAATACAAAAGCGTAAAATGTTTGATGAAAAATCCAATTATTCTGTTTATTTTATCGAATTCTATTATTAATTATCCTGCTGATATATTTATTTTATTTAATATTTCGTTAACTATTAACTAATTAAAGGAATTTTATAAACAAAATTTAAAGTATTGATTTCTTTATCATATTTTTCTTCATGCCTGAGTAATTGCATTAAATCAAAAATTATGCAATGATTTTGGTAAAATGCCATTATCTCGAAAAACCGATAATTTTAAAGTTAATACCAATATAACCTTTTTCTTTGTTAAAATAATGTTCCTTTAATATGTTTTACAAAATACCGTAACTTTGAAGACAAAAAAAGGTTTAGTGCAAATGTAGTGCCACGTCATGTATATGTGGCGCCCTCTATTATCTATATCAAAGAAATGCACTCAAATTATAATTCCTAATATTAAATAGTACCCACAGTTGTAAATTTTTATACATTAAACAATGTTTTCCAAACATAAAAGTTATAGATAAAAATAAAAATTTAGAATTTCCACTTTAACACCCTGTATCTTTTTTATATCAACATTGAGGGCGAAGCGCGCAGCAAGTTTCCTTATCGAGAGCTATTTTTAAAAGCGTAGGAGTGGAATCTGCGGTTTCCTTTGTACAATACTTAAGCGCCCACCCTGAATAATATATATAATATATATTAAATAATATGCACTGTGAGTGAGATTAAAATCTCACTGTAAATGAGGATATCGGTCAAGGAGAAATAAAAAATGAAAAAACTATTTCAATCTTTTAATAGAAAACGTTTCGTGCGGTATTTCTGCACTTCTTCAATTCTAATGATTGTAAAGTCATATATAGATGTCAAACAATGTCAAATGCATATGTTGAGATGTTATGAAATACTTTAAATAAATACAAGTTATGGTAAAAAAATACATTCAAAATTTTATTTAAAATTTAAACAAACATTGAAAAGTTACCAAAATGTCACAATATGTTAACAAGAACAGTATAATATAATAATATAATACAACACTTCTGTTATATCGCTGATATACAATATCTCGAAATTTGGATAAGAATTCTCAACTAATATGGTTTTGATTAACTGAGTGGCTTCCCTTCTGTATAAAGGATGTGACAACTTATGAGTCCTTAAGGCTAATCCCTGTACGAGGTTGTGTTTGAATCTTTTAGGATGAAAGGAATAATAATTAAGGAAGCGATTGCTAGCATTGCTCTTTCTAAACCATTTGGTTCTTAGGATGTTGTCAACACCTCGTACAATTAACATGTCAAGGAACGGAATGTGAATTTACCTCCATCACGCATGTGAATTAGTACAGCTACATTAGTAATACGTATTAGCTAAAAAGAAGTGTATGGTATAACTAGTCGTACATGAGTAAAAATTAGTTAATTTGTTGTGTTAGTTAGGGGTGGGAACAATCCTGGCTCCATCTGTAAATCACAGCTCACACTAGATTTATTTTTAGTTCGTGGGTCGTTAACGACCCCTTGGGCATTAAGGGGTTAATACAAAGTTAAGTCCATATTTTACAACGCACGTACAGTGAAATTATCATTTTTAGTCATATTTTAGAAAGATTTATGAAAAAAACTGCGTTATATGCTTCACAACGAAAAATGATTATTTTAAACAGATACCGTCTGGACTATCATTATATCATCCCTTTCTAATTTGGTCCTTATTATTTTTAAAGTTTTTTCCAAAGGCACGTTTGTGGAAAGGCTGGTAATATCAAAGCTGACTAGCATAAATGTAACAAATAAAAAAATACAAGAGCATATACATTTTAAGCTTACATTGATAGGCTTATTTGTAGATCTGAAATATAAATATTTCTTTGTTGCAGGGAACTAAAGCTGAAACCATAATGGCGGATGCTGTAAATTTTTTGCTGACCCAGAGTACAGACATATATAGTGATTATCAAACTATTTATGAACAAGAAGGAATTCCCGAGATACTATCATTAATTGTACAAATAAAAGGAGCAGATAGTGTAGAAATATTTGAACCAATTTATGCAGCTGCGGTGGAATGTTTCCCATATATGTATGAACCATTTTTGGAGCTTTCCAAGTCTGTATTATCTATTCCAGAGAAATGTGCATCGGTAAGTGAATTAGACAATTAAATAGAATCATTATTTTAAAAATTTGTCCATGATGAGGAGTAAAAATTACGTCTTCAGGCCAGGGATTAGAAATTTATTAGGGGAGAGTGGGGCAATATGATCCCTGTAACATTTTTTTAGGCTAAAAATAACAAAAAACTAAATAATTAAGTACAGTTTAATCAAACAATAAGAGGGATACAACTCAATATATTTCTTTGAAAAAATTGTATCTAAGTGTTCAGCTAAAAGAAAAATAACATTACTTTTGAAAAGCTCTAAATGGACCGTTCTACGCCATGGTTATGGTATAATCTGGTAAAATGACTACAAAACATTGCTATTTACAAAAATCGCAAATATAAAATTTCTCCTTTTCATTTACACCCGCACAAAATAAATGAGACCATTTATTGTTCATATTGCACTGAATCCAAACTTCCTTCAGAGCAAAATTCAGAGCAAAATATACGGACAGCGTCGTCTTCATCATCACCATATCTCTTTTCTTTCTTTTTTCTAAATCTCTATGCTTACAGATTTCCTAACTGCTTGTGAAGTTGGCTTTGGTGTTTTTCTTTCATCAAAAGATAATTTGGCGTGGATACTTTTTATTTATTTATTTATTGCTAATTTACAATCTACTTCAATACAGTAATAAGTAAATATGATGTATGTTCTTGGCTTGTGGCAGGTGTCGTCCATTGACGACTCTCTGGAATTTACCTAGCAGCTAGGTCTTCTGGCCAAAGTCTTTTTAGACGTCTGTCAACCAGTGGGGGGTTGAATAATTCGTCTATGAGATGGTTTGGATGGTCTGCGCTGCGATTCATGTATCTTCTGGAGTGGTCAGCAATCACATCATTGATGAAGGGGATGTTGAGGTCTGCATGCAGGGTTTGGTTTGACACATACCATGGGGCTTTAGCTAACATACGAATAGTTTTTGACTGGAATGTCTGCAGTATTTTGGTGTTGGATGGTTTGCTACAGCCCCACAGCTCAATTCCGTATGTCCACACTGGTTTGAGTATTGTTTTATAGATGGTTAGTTTGTTTTCTAATGAAAGTTGCGATCTTCTGTTGATTAGCCAGCTCATATTTTTAACTTTTAGGTCGAGGTGTCGTCGTTTGGCTGCAATATGTGATTTCCAAGTAAGTTTTTCGTCTAGATGAAGGCCCAGGTACTTTACTTCTGTTTTTATTGGTATAGGTGAATTATTTAGGTGTAGTTGTGGACATCTAATTCTTCGATTTGTGAAATTTACTTGACAAGACTTGTTTGTGTTGACGTTTATTTTCCAGCATTTAAGCCAGTCTTCTAGTTCATTGAGATGATTTTGCAATTTGTTAAATGCTAATATTTCATTGATATCTGATGCTAGTATACCAGTGTCATCCGCAAATGTTGCCATTAGTGTATTTTCGCTAATAGGAATATCAGCAGTGAAGATTTGGTAAAGGAATGGGCCAAGTACACTGCCTTGAGGTACTCCAGATTTTATTTGGTGGTAGTTGGATAGAGCACCTTCGTATTTAACTTGGAAGTATCTGTCGGACAAGTATGATTTAAGGAGGAGGTAGATTTGGTCAGTTAGCTGAGTTTTTATTTTAAAGAGAAGACCCTCGTGCCACACTCTATCAAATGCTTGCTGTATATCGAGCAATGCTGATAGACAGATTTGTTTCCCTTCTAGGCTCTCTTTTATTTTGTTCTCTTTGACTAATCTATGACACTGTTGTATGGTTGAGTGATTTGAGCGAAAACCAAACTGATGATCTGGGATAAGGTTTTCTATAGGTATTATTGTTTCTATTCTGTTAAGGATTAACCTTTCGAAGACTTTTGATAAAGTCGGAAGGAGACTTATTGGTCTGTACGAACTGGCTTCAGTTAGAGGTTTACCAGGTTTAGGTATTGTTATAATTTGTGCATACTTCCATTGCACTGGAAAAAAGCATAGTCTCAGGAGGCTATTAAAAATAATGGTTATTAAGACGACACCTTTTCTTGGGAGTTTTTTTTAAGATTTCGCCAGTTATAAGGTCAAATCCTGGAGCTTTATGAGGGTTAAGCACGTTAATTTGGTTATGGACTTCGTTTGGTGAGAAGTATTTTAGTGGTAATGATAGTTGACAGGGTGCATTAAGGAAGTCTCTAATTTTCTCGTCGTTAATATCGTTGGCCTGTGGGGTGGAGAAGACAGTTGATAGATGTTCTGCAAATCTGTTGGATTTTTCTATATTTGATCGAGCCCAGGTTCCATCATTTTTCCTAATTGGTGATTTCATTACTACCGGCTTTTTGAGTTTCTTTGTGGCTTTCCAAAGAGAGTTGTCGTCAAGAGAAAGGTTTGTGACATATCTTTCAAAGGATTCGTTTTTGGCTGTTTGGATAATGGAATGAAGTCTGTGTGTGAGCCTGTTTAGATTTGTTTTATCTATCGCGTTTCTTGTTCTTTGCCATTTGCGACGGGCTCTTCTTCTCTCTTCTACTAGTGTTCTAATGTGGAGGGGTATACTATACCTTTCAACAATGGTTTTTTCCTTTACAGGAGTAGCTTTCCAAGCGGCCTGTTGTATTTGTTCCGTTAGATATTTTACAGCTTCTTCAATATCGTTTTTGTGTTTGAGTCGAATGTCAAGAGATATTTTTTCATTGATTTCGTCTTTGAATTGAACCCAATTCGTGTTACTGGAACATAGCCTTGGTGCAAGAGTTTTCCAAATTATATTGATACTTAAGGTAATCAAGAGGGGACTGTGGTCCGCATGTAGATCAAAACTGGGGGTGATGTCGCTGCGTATTTCAGGTATTCCCTTAGTTATAACAAAGTCTAACAGATCAGGAATTTTGTTGTTATCAGTGGGCCAGTATGTAGGGGTACCAGTTGTTAGATATTTCGTTAGATATTTCAGGTTATTATCTTGTATGATCTTTAATAGATTTCTGCCTTTTGGAGATATCAGTCTTGCTCCCCAGTTTGTATGTTTTGCATTCCAGTCCCATGTCACTAGAAAATGTGAGCCAAGTTGTTAAAAAAACTCTGTATTCCTCCAGATTGATGGTATGGCGTGGTGGGATGTAGATAGTTATTGTTATTGAGAAGGTGAGCGCTTGTACTTTTATGGTAGTACTCTGAGTTTTGTTGGTGATATATGGAGCAAGGTCGTAGTGTTTTATAGCTGTACGAATTATTATAACTGAACCAGCATGGGCTGTTCCGTCTGGATGGTTTGCGTAATAGACAGAGTAATGTGGAATTTTTATAAAAGACCTTTCAGTTGTGTGACTCTCAGATATAAGTAGGATGTCTATTTTGTTTAATGTTAGAAATAGTATAATTTCTTGCACGTGGTTTGCTAGACCATTTGCGTTCCACTCTGTTATTCTAAGTGAGTTAGCCATTACGACGTTCTATTTATCACTGTTGTAAGAATGCTTAGTATCATGCTGTTTTGGTTTATCAATTGTGCAAACATATTTTTAAATTCGTTGAGGAATTCTGTAAGTTTATTTGAAATTACTGAATTATTGTTGTTGTCTTGTGAAGAATTATTAGTTGCTGCAACTTGAGCATATGTTACATGTAATTGGCGTGTGCGGTGAGTGTTAGTGTTATTACTATTTAGGCTTGCAACTCTAGATATAGGAATGCTGCTTGTTATATTTTTGATTGCCATTACATAAACACATGTTGCTAGTGTGTTGCGTGCTGTTTTGCAGGTTTTTCTGTCATGTGATCCACCGCATTTAACACAGGCGAATGGCCTCAGGCAGTAACTTTTTGAGTGCCCGTATTTTTGACACCTTATGCATTGTACTATTGTATTTTTTATTCTGGCTGGTTCTACTGTTATTATGCAGTTTTGTAGGACTTGCAGGTTAACTATGTTTTTGTTGTTTTCATTTGCCTCTATATCGACAAAGAATAAGGGCAATGGTTCTATTATTAATTATTTAATTCATGCTAGATATCTCCTATGGGTATTGAATGGTGTAATCCTCTTATGACAACTCTATAGGCCCTCTCTTGTTTTGGTTGGTATGTGTGATGTACAATGTTTTCTTTTCTAAGGTGCTGTATGAGTGTCCTGTAGGTGTATGAGTTTGTAGGGTTAATTTTTACTGTATTATTTGAAATGATTTTGGTGTGATAGGTTTCTGCCGCAGTTGCAGTTGAAAGGTTTGCTATCATAGCACTATAGTCAGTAACTCCATAAATATAGATTGGTGACGGTGAGGGATTTTTTTTGGTTATATTTGTGTTTTGTGTATTTGATAAATTGTCTGTTTGTTCATCTAGATTTTCTTTTGAGAGGGAATCAAATCTGTTTTGTGTTTGGATTTGGTTGGGAATTTCTGAAGTTGTTTGTCTTTTTACCCTTTTTCTCTTATTGCCAACCTCTTGCCAAGGATGTTTATTTTCGTTTTCTGTTTCGTTAAGTTTTATGTCGCTATCGATAACCATGTAGTTATTGGTGTTTTGTGATGATGAGAGTGAGCAGGCAAGTGATTTTATGTGGGGTCCGGATACTAGAAGAAAATTTTAACAAAGTCCAGAAAAAAAAACAAATGATAACATTTAATGACAAGATGTTTATTATTTTGGTACATTCTTGATGATTAAACAAAAGACCTTAAATTAATGCGAAAAATTGCACCGACGGTCTTGAGCTAGTTGTTTGTTGTCTGGTTCTCGAGTCGAACAACAAATTCGAACTGTATCTTCGAGGTGGGCGTCCGTTAATCGGGAGCGATATTTGTTTTTAAAAAAATTCATTTTTGACAAAGACGTTTCTCACATATACGTTGAGCCAAATATAGTGGCCAAATTGATTGCAAGTTGTCTGAAATTTTCATATTTTACTGGAATATGTTTGGCCCAAAATTATCCAAAGAACAAATCTTCAAGGTGCAAGGTGTTTATGTGCAAGGAAAAATCTTCTTGTAATTCAATAATCTCCATTTAAAGTTATGCTTTTGACATATTAAACAGCTTAGCAGCCACATCTGTCCATTCTGCCGCTGCATCAACTTCAAATAGTTATTTTAGAAATGAAGATAGTTTGATTACCTGTACAAAGTCTTGGATTCTTGAAGCAAAGTTGTTCCTAAGATCGCCCAGAAATTTTACGAATACTGCAATGTCTTCTTCGGAGTAATCGGAGAATAGTTGGAAAATGAATGAATTCTTGTTGTGCAATATCTTTTTCAAAGATATTCAGCTTACGAAGAAAAGCAGACACGCTTTGTATCAGATCACAGATTAATGTTCCATTTCCTTGTAACTCTGTGTTAAGCGTATTCAAATATTTTAAAATATCTTTCAGAAAGCCACAACCAGAAGGTTGCGCCTGTTTGTTATATCCTCAAAATGTTCCTTGGCTCCCTGCGTATCTATATTTTGTAAGAAGGAGATCACATGTTCTTTTATTAGCCAATTGAATTGTCGGTGCTGAAGAGCAGAATAAGATCTCATAAAATAATTAACTTCACTAAACTGTCCAGGATTTTTTTAAGTCTAGCACTAAGTTTTCCACAATGGCTGCCTGATGTATTATGCACTGACATGTTATTAAATGTGAGTTTTTATCCCTGATCCTTTTTTCTACACTTTTCCCTTTATCAACCATTGCTGGGGCCACATCAGTAGAAAGCGAAATCATTTTATTATAACTGATGATAGATTGTTAGCAACTCCTCCTTAAAAATTTGACACTCAATATCAAGAAATCTTACAAAAACAAAAATTTGTTCATCATCAACAATGTTACATGATTCGTCAAGTCCTATGGCATAGCAAGGTGCCTTTTGCAAAAGATTAAGAAGAGAGTTTTTAATATCCGCAGCTAAAATTTCCGTTCTTTGTGTACTACTTTGCGCTGACAATAAGATGCTTTGAATTGCTGAACCATCTTTTTTTTTTAAGTGAGTTAGCTACTGCCAGCATACATTCCTTCACTATCTCAGAATCAGAAAATGGTTTTTGGTGTTTATTAAGTATCCAGCACACACGTAACGCTGCCTCTGTGGATTTTTCTTGGTCGCTCATGCAGCGAACTAGGATTTTTGTGTTTTTTTTTGTAATAGTTAAGATATACTCGAAGTTTTTCTTTACGCGCCTAACTGCCAAGGGGCACGTTTTTGTGGAACTGCTGATGAGTTTTTTTGTATTGTGGCTTCAAATTTCCACTTTTAACTAAGGCGACAGTTTTATTGCATATAAGGCATACCGGAACCGCTTGCGGCCTATCAGACAATATAAAACAATATTGTTCAGTATATTCTGCCAGAAACTTCCTATTCTCACTGTCCAGTTTTCTCCTTTTCGAATCCATATTAACGTAGGTACAAAAAGATGTTTTAGAAAACGAAAGAAAACGCGAGTAATCACAAAGAAAATTAACGATAGTGCCCTACGTGCATGTCACTGACCAAGTAGTGAGTAGACCCATAAATTTTATTACCCCAAATTGTGTTTTAAAAGATTTTGCCAGATTTTAAACAGAATTCCCCAGATTTATATATTTCAGTTGTTGTAAACATACAATATTATTATAAAACAATATTTCATCACTTATACATAATTGTTATTATGTTTATTTATCATTTCACTTCCTCTTTGAAAATTAACAACAGTTTTATTTTGAACTTGATTGAATCGATATTGCTGCATCACCTTTGAAGTATTAACTTCTTAATGTCAATTTTATGGTTTGAAGCAACAACCTCTGACTTTGAAGCTGCAGTGAATAAAGTTTCATTTTCTGATAATTCTCCGGACTGCTTCCAAAAAAGACTGATATCATCTGAAGATCGGCATTCCTCTGAATTTTTTTTCCTCATAGGTAAAGTACTTGGAACCGAAGAACTATCTTTGTGGAGGAGTTCTTTGTTTATGCATGAGATCAGCGATTTAATTTTACACTGTAGGTCGATCAGTTGTACACTATGGTTTGAATTTCCCATCTTGAACTATGTTCGGATTAAAGGGAGAGATGTCTGTTGTCTCAAATCCACTAAGTCTGTTGTGGCAGCTCTTCGACATGCTTTTCTAAACAAGGTAGCTATAGTATACAGAGATACGACTTGTCCAGGGTTAATTTTAACCTATAAAATAACGTTCTCCATAGAATGTGCCATTCTTCTTCTAAATGTGCCTATCTTCTAGAGATGTTGGCGACCACATTGACTCATCCTATTCTATTCACTACAGCTCGAAATAGATCAGTTGACGTTAGACCAGTCCACTTTCTAAGATTGGCCAGCCAGGATATATGTCTACGTCCAGAGCCTCTTTTACCCTCAATCTTGCCTTGTAGAATCAACTGTAGAAGTCGGTATTTATCATTACGCATGATGCGCCATTAGAGGTCAAAATACTGCCAGATCCAATGACTACATCTCGTGCGTGCAATGTGGAGGAAAAGACTGCATTATAATGCCATTTTCTCCATAGTATTCTATAGTTTCGGTGAACTTGTGGTTTGAATGATCATCAAGAAATAATAGGTCCTTATTTTCAACTCAGCACTGTATATTTTATTGAAAATGCTTTAAGAACAGAATATAGGTGTCAGATTTCATGTATATAGATTCGTTGTAAAGAGAAAGGGTTCCGTATGGGGTGCCTTAAAATAATAATTCAGTATTACTTTTGAGAGGGAATATTGTTGCTGGAGGAATGAATTGATCTGCAGCATTTACACAGAGAACAACGATGACATTTTGTCCCCTTTCAACACTTGTTAGAAAACTAACCTGTTGTCGCCCTTTATGTGCTAAAATTTTGGACAATTTGCTAGGCACCTTCTGGCTACCAGACTCATCCATGTTATAGGATTTATGTTATTTTATTTTGTATTTCATCCAAAAGGGAAAAAACTTAGCGACTGCGTCTTTATTAAAGCCTCTCGCTTTAAAAATTAGCTTTAAATTTATATTTAGTTTAAACGTTTAACTTAAGTGTATTTTGATTTCTTTATTGAAGGATAATTAACATCTGTATACTTTGACTAATTAAACTAGACAATAAATTAATTAGATGTGTTTTTATAGCTTATATTAAAACTAGCCTATGGATGCTTCGCACATCTTCACAGCTTCGTAAATAGGTGGCGCTAGTAGTACTAAATATACCCTTATTCTCTGTATAAATGCTGAGGATCAATTACTTCCTCCTCCAGCAATAATATTCCCTCGAAATATAAGGAATGAATTATTATTCTAAGGCGCCTCACATGAAACACTTTCTCTTTACAACTAATCATTAATAAATGTTTCGTTTTATATTTTGAAAGAAATAATTCCACTATATACTTTTTTATTTTCAGATTGTGGCATTATTGAAACATCTTCCAACGTTTCTGTCTGAAAACGTTTGGAAAAGACACGAAGATATTTCCACATTAAATGAAGAACTACCATTATTCACGGACAGCAAATTGTTTATGATACCCTTTGGTACCATTATCCAGAGATTCAGATGTAGAGATATTGATTTGGTGCAAATCAAGTACCCTTTTAGTTTTTTCCTACTTTTGGAACAATATATAAAATCGTTACATTCTTCCCGTTTTGGCCTTACACCACCTATAGTTTTTACAAATCTCAAAAAGCTTGTTATATCAGGTTATCAGTTCATACATCATTACATAAAGAATTATAAGGATGAATATAAAAAAGATGTTGAACTTAAAACCCTTGTATCTAGATTAAATTTAGTTCCTGCTAAATTTTGTGAAGGAGAGAAGATGGATTTTGAACTGATTTTACTATATTTTTCGATAAACTCAACATTGGTCAAACTGGGTTTTCTCGACTTTATGGAAGCGTTTCCAATTGATCACCGTAAGAAGTTTATGCCAGTGGTGACACATTATAATAGGGAACACAAGGATGCTTTGTTCTGGCAACTTTCAACCAAAAGCTACCTCATTCAAGCCTTAAAAGAAGAAGAATTTAAAGATACGCATCAATTATTGGTGGAGTATTTGGAGCTCCTGAATTATATGGTTAAAGTGAGTGTCATTCTCTTCAATTTTTATTAATAATATTTGATATTTTACTTCCTTTTTTTAGGAGTTTTTTTATAGGAACAAATTGCATTTTATAAAAATGATTTAAATTTGTTAGTTTACGAATTATAATCATTTAAACAATTAAATTAATTGTTATAAGAAATTCACGTCATTTCCAACACAAAAGCAAGTTTGAAATTCGAATTTAAGGTTCTTGAACTCCTAAGTGGAGCATAGAGCTTCAGTGAAAACGCGTCATCGGGTTCTATTTTGCGCTAAGGCCTTTACCTCATTCCAAGACTTTCCTTGGCCTCTTATCTCGTCCATGATGGATCTTCTCCAAGTTTGTACTGGGCGACCTCTTTTTCTTTTCCCTTGGGAATTCCACTCTAGGACAGTCTTTGCGATACTGGAACTATTTTTTCGGAGTGTGTGACCGATCCAACCCCACTTTCTGGACTTAATTTCATTTTGTACCCTCTTTTGTTCGGTCAGGTGTAGCAGAACTTCGTTTCTGATGGTGTTAGGCCAGTACGAACAATTCTTCGTAGACATTTGTTAACAAAGACCTGCAGTTTGTCTGTGAGGGTGTTTGTCACTTTCCAGGTTTCACATCCGTAGAGTAGAACAGACATGACATTTGATCGGAATATTCGAATTAAGCGGGTCAAAATACATAAGAATTTTCTCTGAAACTCCGTGGATTTAAATCTTCCATGAAACATCTTTGACCCCTAGGGGTTCCCACTTTCACCCTTCTGTTAAGCTAAGTAAGACTTTAAATTAAAAGAATTTTCATAAACAACAAGCATTTAAATCGGTATTCAGTAATGAGTAACTATCAGAAAATTATTAACAATCATTTTATGAATTTTTTTTTTATTTCAGAATGGTCGATATCCCATGGAAGTACAGTTACCCGGAGTATGGTTTATTATATATTCGCCTTTTCTATTTCATGAACGGTGGAACTACAGAGACCGCAGGGAAAATGTAACTATCAGTAGATTGTCTTGCTCTGTATTGGTAGAAGTTTTACAAAAACAGCTTATTGCTAAGGACAGAGAGTCAGATATCATTTTCGATTACGTCCTAGATATCTTTTTCAGCGACAATAGCGTTGCAGCCCGTTTATTGAGGACTATTACAAAAGAAAGATCCAATATTCAAAACGCAATGCTTCAAGAAATTAACTGGAATGATGGGCCTGGTGAGGAATATTTAGAATGTCTAAAACTGCACATACTCCTCGCATTTCTGTTGTACAAACATAAAGCTGCAGTAGAGCATAAGAAAAATTATTTAGATGAGAATGTTGGAGATTTTGCAAAGGCAGTCATTGCATATATTGTTAATCCGTTTTCTCTATCTTTAAGATCGTTGTCGTGCAAATTTTTGGAACTAATTGCGAAGGTATGTATTAATTTATACATTTTTTATTATCTTTACATGAATCACTGAACACTCAATGTGCATTCTACTTAAGCCATTAGATCCAAAAGGGTCTTAGCTCAGGATCGTTGAAAGGTTGGCTTAGCTGACTGGTTTCTTTCTTCCCTATTTTAAGTTTTCGTTTGCCTTTTTTTTGCAGATGCTCTGCCATTTTTAAGAAGTTGTGAGGCTATTTGTTTTGCTGTGTCGTTTGCGAAATTATTTGCTCTTTCAGTAGGGACCTGGCAGTTTTTTCAGTAGTTTCCAAGCAGGTCTAATATTCTGTGCCATGCTTATATTTTCCATGAGATTGCACCATTTTAATCTTCGTTTGTCTTAAATGGCAATAAGTAATATTTCTACAGCTCGGTGAGTATTATCACTGAAAGGGTATTATTTATATAGTTTTCCATACCGGTTGAGCAATGGAATAGAGTTGGAGTTAACCGTTGAACATAGTGAGTCGGGCATCCTCGCGGAATATGTTTCTTCTAGAAACAGTTTTCACAATGTTATACATTTTTCATAGTTTTCTGTTGTTGGGCGAATTTTAGGGGGGGAATTTGTTGGGGTCTTATCAAGATCTGAGGCGATTTTTTCCCAATTTGCTTTTTTAAAATTAAATCTCTTATTAAATGGCGTTTCTAATTATTGGTTTGGGTTGGATGCGAGTAATTACATGCCCTATATTTTTTTACCCTGTCATATTACCATTGTCATCAGCCTCCCTCTACCCCCATGCAGTAAGTTGATAATTAAAAATGGCCAAGGATGAAGTTGGTGTTATGGTAGTTAAAATGATCAAGTTCAGTGAAAATGAAATCTTCTCCAAGGGTCTTGTATACAGAAGTCACAGAGAAGCTTGGTATGTAGATAGTAACAATTTCTACGTTGTTAAGCTCGTTGTTAGCAGATGATGTTATGTTCAACCCAGATCGGGCAAAGATAGCACTTCCAAATTTTTCATGTGGACTTTCAGCGACCAGCTTCATACCAAATATCCAGAGAAGTTCACTACTCTTTTTATCAATATAAGACAGGACTAAGATTATATGTTTGCTTTTTTATGAACTTTCCTTAATGTTATTTGTGAAGTATTAAAATGAAACACTTGTGTATAAAATAGTAAGCCATCATTTGCTCCGTGCGTATACCACGATAAGAAAGTTATGCTTCTCCTTCTAAGTAACTCATAGATTGTCACATCTCGTTTTTCTTTTGCACATTTATGTCGAATAGTAAAATTGCCTTGAATATTTATTGACATCATTAGAATAGTTGGTCCTGAAAGGGACAATTTGAGAAAACCATGTTGAGCTGGTAATTAAAGGATTAGCCGATTAATTATTCATTGGCTAGCTTACGGCTAATTGCGGTTAACTAATTGATATTGCAGTCTTCGTGGAGGCTCCTTCTTTGTACCCCAACCCACTTGTAACGTCATCCTGCGTGATGACTAGGGGAACATTGTAACGACCTATTTTGCTTACCTCAGGGTAGGAACATGGGGAGAAGATTGGGCAAACAAAATAATCGAAACTAGTGCGTACGGCACTCAAAGGGTTGTTGGAGTATTTATATAAGAGTTATGTAAGAGTATAAGAGTTGGAGTATGAAATTTGGGTTGGATTGGGGTACCTACTAAATGAGAACAAAGGGATACTTACCTAAATCTCCTGGGCAATTAATACAACAACAAAAGAAACTTCTAGCAATTTGAGATAAAGGCGCCGCTTCGAAGGATCCTAGTTTTCTGAAGGAAAGACAAAATTCTTCTTTCCTAAAATCAAATATACATACAAGGATTAGGAGACTTTTCTAAATTAAAACACAAAATGGATCAGACAAACAAATCGATTGTTTATTTTTGTCTCAAACAGTTTTCAAAAATACATATTATACGAGAGCATACTATATATCAAATTAACAAAAACTTACGTGTTATTTGTTTACAAAAGAAATGGCTACAAAAATTCTTGAAATGGTTCCTAGGTTATAATATGGCCAAATTAGATTATCAAAAAACTTATGGATATCCTTTTTATGAAAATACTGTAGAATTTAGCCTTATATATGAAATATCTTTTATATATAATAATCAAATTGAAATTGTTTTACAACAACAATGGATTAGAGCAAATGTCATATGTCAACATAACATTTTAAATCAGAATAAAATATGACATTTCTTAGCTACGATTCATAACATAATATAAAACTTTAATTATAACAAATTGTTTTATTTTAATGAAAGCAATTATTAAAAATGTCTATATAACTTGGAAAACATAATATATTGAATTGTTTCCTTAATTCACAAAATTTTGAACTTAACTTTGAAAAAGAAAAAACTTGCTACATCTCTGGGGAAGCTACTTGGACATATTCTTTAACAGGAACAAGGAAACCATTTCCATACTCAGGAACAACGATCAAATCAGGTTTGGTGGAGTAACAAGCCAGACGACGGGGGCACCCTATACATCAATCTTCAAAAGTTTCCGATATCTATACAAATCTTTAAGGTACTCCAAAAATATAGAAATAGTGGTGACTCGTTTCTAAACTGACATATTACATAGAGTCTACTATTTTCAACCAATTTTGCCGGTCTTCTCAGTTTCAAATCTTTTCTTCGACTCTTGAAACTAATCGCAATTCAAATTTTCTTTGCTGTCCCCGCAGCTAGTTTTGCCTACCAAACCTAAACAAACAACTTTTTTTTCAACCGGAATATTAGGGGACTCATGTATATTTACTTTTAAATTGGGTAAAAATAACACGTAGTTATTGATTATTCTAGCGACCCTAATTTTAACCTGACAATGTAACAAAAGGTCATTTGATTTGAAAATAAACATACACAAAAAAGTGTTTCCAGCGTTATTACGTCTATTCGTAAATAAAGTTTTATAGTTAATTAAAAAAAAAATAGTAATAGCATTGAAATTTTTTTGAAAAATCACTGAAAAGGAGATGAGTTGCAATTACGACGTCGACATGGGGGATGGCCTCGACTGTACACGACTATTTACGATGAAGGGGAGGTTGGGTATTTAACAATCCAATTTTTACGACGTAGGTTATGGATGTTTCTTTAGGCTACCACCGAACCGTAAATTAATGTGATTCCATGACCTATTTCAATTACAATTTTTTTGATGACTATACTTTTTAAACTAAAAAATAATATCAAATGTATTGTCTTATTTTTTTGCTTGCTGTTTAGGATCCTTCTATCCCTTTATTGTCAGTGTTGGGATTGGATATGGACCAAGTTTAACGAATATTTCTGGAGAGACTTCGAGATGCAACTGAAGATGACGGTTTTAAATGCTTGCTGTTAGATCTTATTGGTACCTGCCTTTTAAACCAAGGTGCCATGACGGCAGCTTTTTTTAATTTTAAACGATTTAAGAAGTGGTATACCGAAAGTAGCGGCGATGAGATTACCGTAGGGCATTGTGTGACGGATTTTATGATAGAAAGTTGGCTACCACCGAACCGTAAATTAATGTGATTCCATGACCTATTTCAATTACAATTTTTTTGATGACTATACTTTTTAAACTAAAAAAAAATAATATCAAATGTATTGTCTTTTTTTGCTTGCTGTTTAGGATCCTTCTGTCCCTTTATTGTCAGTGTTGGGATTGGATATGGACCAAGTTCAACGAATATTTCTGGAGAGACTTCGAGATCCAACTGAAGATGACGGTTTCAAATGCTTGCTGTTAGATCTTATTGGTACCTGCCTTTTTAACCAAGGTGCCATGACGGCAGCTTTTTTTAATTTTAAACGATTTAAGAAGTGGTATACCGAGAGTAGCGGCGATGAGATTACCCTAGGGCCTTGTGTGACGGATTTTATGATAGAAAGTTTGTTCAACTTAAAGAATTCTAAGGTAAGTGTACTTATTTTATGTATTTTAATTTACTGTTAACTTTGTGTTGTCTTTAAACTTCGTAAACAAAGGGCACTATGGATTGTTTAACACCTAAAAAGTTTAGATTTGAATTGTCTTGCCTGGCTGCTTAATTATGATTGGTTGAAACAGGAGAACAACGCATGTCCGTCCAATATACAGTGATATATTGGAAGACAAAATAACGCAAAAGATGGAAGACATATTAAGTTGTGAGATAATATGAGATAAAGCTAGTTCTTATATATGGCTAGTTGACGTCAGTCATAAACATTTTATTTTAATTTCCCATGTTAGAACAAATGATTGAATAAATTAAGACAGATTCTAGTAAAACAACATTAATTAGTAGCCAATTTAATTATAAATCAAACTTGTAACGATTATTTTGCCTACCACATAGGGTATTATTATAGGGGGTTGAACTACTGAGGACCACTCAAGGTTTATTTGGAGAACTGGGTTGTGGATAAGTGAACGACAAGAGGACTGGACTGGGGTAACTACAAAAATTAAACAAAAGGTGTACTTACATGAATCTCCTGGGCAAACAAAACACAAGAAGGTTCCCAAAGCTATTTAAAATAAGGACGCCGCTTTGAAGAATCTTCCTGCTGGATAAAAGAAAAGGCTCTTTCTCCCTAAAAAATACAAAAAAGGGTTAGAGAGTTAGTTAAGAGAAATAAAAATTATTTAAAATTAAACCAGATGTCCATAGTAATGGACAGTTCCAATCTCCGTTCGAAATTTTTTGTGGGTAATATATCATCAGACAAATACATGTCGACTTCTTTTATATCTCTCGATACAGGTGTATGTTTAGATGAGTCATGTCCAATTAATTCATCAAAAATACACCATAGACTTAGTCATCTTTATCAGTTTCTTTTTTTTGTACTGGTTGATTTTCAAGATTTACTAAACTTATGCAAAGACTCGTTTCATCAGTTTTCCATAGTTGAAGAACGAGCTTGTAAAAAGTTTGCAGGGTGGATTCCTGGATATAAACCGCCAACAAGAAAAACTTTGTCCACTAGTTCGATGACGAATGTAGAAAAGAGTTAAAAAAAGATCAGATTTGAGATTAAAAAGTTTACGGTCGACAAGACGACCTAGATAGGTATGCCGAACAACGAAAAAAAGTAAAGAGAATCCTAAGGGAGCGGAAACGAACGTATATGGATGATAAAATAAAGCGCATTGAAGAAAAATGAAAAAAAAATTTTACAAAGAGGTAAAATACATTAAAACTGGAGACCAGGGAAGAACGATGAATGTAAAAGATAAGCAAGGAAACCTGATAGTGGACGAAGGCCAAATATGTGAAAGGTGGAAAGAATATTTTGAAGAGATGCTAAATGACGGAGTGACTACTGATGAAAATTTTTATGTTCCTAAACCTCAAATAGTAATAGAAGAAATACCAAAGCCCACAAGAGAAGAAATTGAAGAAATAATAAAAGATATGAAAAATCAAAAAAGCCCCGGAGAGAGCGGCATTGTGACAGAGAACATAAAATATGGAGGAGAGGCCTTAATAAACAAACTTGGCGAACTGATACTAGAAGTATGGGATGCCCAAGAAATGCCTCAAGAATGGAATAAGTCGATTAAAATTTATATACACAAAAAGGGAGATAGAACTGAATGCGCAAATTGTAGAGGAATGTCCTTATTAGAGGTAATATATAAAGAACTCGTCATACTAATCAAAAAAAGGAATAGAAATATATATATAGAAAAATCTAGGAAAATACCAGGAAGGATTTCGGAAAGGAAGATCAACAACCGATAAAATTTTTATGTTAAAACAAATCCTGATCAATTGCTATGAATACAACATTTCAGCACAAGTAGTTTTCATTGATTACAAAGCCGCCTACGATACAATAGACAGAAACAAGTTAATAGAAACACTAAAAGAATTCCAAGTGCCAGAAAAAATAATAAGATTGGTAAAAATGACAATTAGACAAACCATTTGTGCTGTGAGATGCATCGGTACAGTCTCAGAAGAATTCGAAGTGAAAAAAGGTGTTCACCAAGGAGACCCGTTGTCTACATTGCTATTCAATATAGTTCTAGAAAAAATTGTAAGGGTTAGTGGGATAAATAGGTCCGAAACTATTTTATACAAGCACCAATGCTTATCATACGCTGATGATATGGTTCTCATTGCAAGAAATGTAAAAGAACTATCAAATATAGCAAAAAGACTGATTCGGGAAAGCTCTAAAATGGGTCTGAAAGTTAATATTAATAAATCGAAGTACATGGAGATCTCGAGCAAAAAAGAAATAAACCAAGAAATAAACCAAGGCAAAGAAAGAAATGGAGAGATGTAGTGATGGAAGATGTCAGAGAGATGGGAATCAGAGAAATGGGAATCAGAGGTTGGAAACTGGTAGCTAAGAACAGAAAACGAAGGAAATTATCCATCCAGCAATGGGCCTAACCTGTTAACAATGTACATACATACATACTTTCTTTCGTTTGTTTACTTCAATGTACTATTTCGTCAACTATTGCTAGATATCTTTCAGGATTCTTTGGAGTTGTGAAGCAATGTTAGAGTATGAAGTAAAAGACGAGACCAAGCACAGTAGGAACTCTCGCTTGAACATAACTGACATTAGACTATTCTTCGTGCTAAATCACAAAGAATTGTCGATTTTCTAGGTATGCACCAGTCTATCTGGGAAAAAATCATTGATATTACATAAAAATCTTATTTTAATTATCAGATATATTAATTTATAATTATCAGATATTTGACGGTTCTAAAAAGTATACGAGAGGTAGCTGGTGAAAAATGTGTGAAGACGTACAGCTGATTTTTAACTGAAAAAGTTATTTTTTTGCATATAAAACGTTTATTATGCTTTAGAGAAAAATGGTTCGAATAAAAATTGTAGATCTTAAAATGTTCTTAAATTTTCGAGTTCCTAAATTAAAATACATGAATAATTCTCCAAGATAGTTGGTAAAAAACCATTAATTTTGCAGTAATTTATATATGTTAATAACTTTGTTTTTTGCATAATGGCATAATAACTATTAAAAATTATGGCAGATAATAAGTTATTAAAGTTTGCTAAATTTCAAACGGATCGACCGAATAGCTTATAAGTTATTCAATTTGTTTGTCTCAGAGAGCGATTATTTAAACAACTGTACTTGTCCAACCAGTCACTCTAGAGATATTTTGTAATTTGTAATCGATTCTTTGAGTGTTCTTTTTAAGGTATATTAACAGTCTTAAGATTTTATTAAATTTGTTATTAAAAAACAGTTTGAAAAGGAATTACTTTCTAGCTTATACGTATTTATAATAACTTTGACATTTTTTATTTCATACATTTGTATGTAGGCTCAATGAAAAGCTGGTAAAAAATACACTTTTCAAAAAGACCAGAACCTTCTATGAGCAATAGGAAACCTGATAGCATTTTTTTTCTTAAAATCATATTCTCATTGTTTATTAACATTAAGAGCTGAATCTTAAACCTATTGTAAAAGAAGATCTAAATTTTATGATCCATCTGATACATGGTATACACAGTGAAGTAGTTAAAAGTTATATTCCGTTAAAATGATGGTACTCGTAAAATATCGCCACTGAATATCGTCCGCTGCAATCTTAACTTGTTTCTTGTTATTGGTCATAGAATGACACTGTTTCACCAGATTTTTATTGAGCTTACTTACAACCGTGTGGCATAAAAAAATATCACAGTTATTATAAATGTTTAGAACTTAATAAGTCTTGTTTTTTAGTAACAAAAATGTTGAAGTTGTTTTAATAAATCTTATAAATGAAGCCTTAAAGAGTCGATTGTGACTTATAAAATACCTCTAGAGTGACTGTTTTGGCAAGCAAAGTTTGCTTTTTTAAGTAATCGCTCTTCGGGATAAACAAATTGAATAACTTATATACTATTTGGTCGATCTGGTTGAAATTTAAGATACATTAATAATTCATTAACTGCCACAATTTTAAATACTTATATTACATGTGTTTACGCAATAAACAAAGTAATTAACATTTATAAATTACTACAAAAAAGTGTTTTTTAGAATTATCTCGGCCAATTGTTTATGTTTTATAGAAGGGAAAATAGAAGGCAGACGCGGCACGGGTAGACAACAAATGACCTGACTGCGCAACATCGAAGATTGGACAGGATTAGACTTTCAAAGTTTAATAAGGAAAGCCCAAAATAGGGAAGACTTTGCAGAGGTCATCGCCAACCTTCGCTAAGAAGACGGCACCCAAAGAAGAAGAATTGTTTATGTATTTTATTTTTAAAACTTGCAAAATAAATCATTTTTTATGATCTACAACTTTTATTTAAAATTGTTTTCTCTGGAATGTCTGAATTGATTTTTTATTAGCTACCCCTCATATACCTTTTAGAACCTTCAAATATCTAAGATTTTTCTGTATAAAACTTTTCAGCTTTTTTTCTTCATTGACTGGGTTAGTAGAATAAGATTATGAAGTGGTTAAAATAATTGTTTTAATTTTATGTACGATATAAATACATGTCCACATAATTTGTTTTATCTGTGTTTTTTAGGATCCGAGAGTACTGAAGAGTCCATTACAAATAGGTATACTTCATATAATGGCAAATTTATGGGTTACCCGTAGCCTGAACTTAGTCACAGAAGCGATAAAATTACCACAATTTTGGCAACTGCTGTGTTATCCTCTTTTTAAAGAATTTGTTCAGTCGTTTAGAGTATATGGGTACATTTTTAGAATTCTCGCAGTCCAACTTCTACAGTCTCTAGCTCGTGCACAAGAACCTAAAGAGGAGAATGAGCAATATGACGCAGACCAAAAGCTCTTTCAATGCGTTGAAAGATTTTTGAAAACCAAACATCAAGTCCAGAAGTGGACAACCTTTTTCTTTGACACTTTTCAAAATTGTTCTATGAATTTAGAAGACATTGAAGAAAGACATTACTTCTTAAAATCTTGGATGGAGTTCTTTGTGGTATTAGAACGTAAAGAAGAATTACCGAAGCTGGATAAAGCTCATAGACAAGTCTTTCTTTGTAAGAGTTTGGACGCAGTACAGTTTCCTATGGTTAGCAATCACTGCTTAAGACTATGGATGGACTTGTTACTTCTTCAATTTGCCTTTTGGAAACAAACTGAACTGTGAGTTGTACAGCTTAATTATTAGTTTTACTTACTTTTTCCTAACAATTTCTGTCGCTAATTATTTTTGATTATACAGTGGAACTTGGTTATAGCGTCATTGAAGGGTCCAATAAAAAAATGACGCTATATGAGTGACGTTAAAAAAGAGGTTGAGAAAAATAAAATTTTAATGAGGGTAAATATTATTACAGCATTATTGGGTATAGTAGATATATTATTTGTTAATTACTCTGGGCCTAAACATGATAATTTAACATAGTTTACGATATACCGAAAATATAACATTTACTTAAGTCAAATTTAAAAAAAACAAGAATCATTTTAGGATAAAAAACAAAACATATTATGTATGTATATGAAACTTACATTGTGTAAAAAAGTTCTATTGCTGAAAAAAGTCCGTTATTTTCTTTTGCACAACCATTTCCGAAAAATAAAGTTTTTCTGTTGTTTCCTTAATAAGCTGAGCTGCTTCTTTGGTATTTGTGGATGTCTCCCTGAACTGGTAAAACCTGGATATGGTCTCAGCAGCTCTCTTTGCTTCTTGGATTGTAGAACAAGCAACGATGTCTTCTTCTTCTTCAGCTTCATCGACATCCATTTCCACGTTTTGCACCAGTTCAACAATTTCTTTATCACTTAGGACTTGAAATGTTTCCACCTCATCGTCTACTGAAATGTAGGAGTCAAGATCAGTTCCGAACACTCCCTGATTCACATTAAATTTTTGTATCCACTCTGACAAAGGCATTTCATCATCTTTATCAACGTCCTCAACATTGAGAGAAGCTACAGCTTGACGAAAACACTTATGAATTGTCACTGACGTAACCGCACTCCACGCATTGTCTAAAAACTGAACAGCATCCAGGATGGTAATGTTCACAGGTTCTCCATTATCCATACAAAAAATCATTATTTTTAAAAGCTGTTTTCGATAATGGCACTTTAAACTTCTTATGACTCCCTGGTCCATAGGCTGCAAGACACTCGTGCAGTTGGCTGGTAAGAACACTAGATTTATATTGGTCAAATTAAGTTTGGGATGGGCTGCACAGTTGTCAACTAGAAGAAGAATTTTTCTTTTTTTGAAAGAGAGTTCCTTGTCCCACTTTCTCAATTCTTCTTCAAAAATAGCAGAAGTCATCCATGCTTTTTTATTGGCTGTGTAGTTTACAGGTAGTGTTTTAATGTTTTTGAAACATCTAGGATGTAAACTTTTCTTCCAATAACCAAAAGCTTTCTTTTCTCTGTACCTGTCATATTTGCACAAACAAAAGCCGTCACTCTTTGCTTGGAAAGTTTTCCACCGACACATTTTTGATTTTTGAAATTTAAAGTTTTGTCTGGCGTTAATTTATAAAAGACACCTGTCTCGTCACCATAAAGATATCTTCATCTTTGTATGGTTGCCTTTGTTGTGGCCATGTGTTTTGTAACCAGTCACTTGTTACGTTCTCGTCCACACATTTTGCCTCTCCAACAATTTTCGAGAAGGAAATTGAGTGTCTGGCTTTAAACCGATCTAACCAGCCGTTAGAGCATGTGAAATCTTCACCAAACAATTTTTCGAACTCTGTAGCTTTCATCTTTAAAAGTGGCCCGGACGCAGGGATATCAGAACTGCGACACTGCTTGAACCATTTGAGTAGAGCTGAATCTACATCACCACGAATGCACTTCCTAATCTTTTTAACATTGTTTCTGTCCTCTTTAAAGGCTTTTAAAATTTTGTCCTTGTTTTTTATGATTGAGCCGACAGTCGAATTAACAAGTCCAAATTGCCGGCATACATCAGCAATTTTTCGACCACTTTCAAATGCTCTTATAACACGCACTTTTTCTTTAATAGGCAAAACCTTCCTTTTAGTGCTACAACTTGCCATATTAAAAAATAAAAGCTAATTACCAAATTAAAATAAAAAAAAAAAACAAAACGATCCGAACACAATTTCACGGTAGCGAAAATTTTTTAAACCGATTGTTCCGAAACAGAAAATTTGACTGTTAAGAGTGTTAGGACGGCACTGATAAATGCGAAATTATCGGTTGTCAGGGTAACATAACTGTACACAGAAGGGATAATGGACCTTTCTTACATTCTTGGAAGGAACAAATGCCGCAAAGCCAGAAACGCATTGCACTTTATTCTTCATAAAATAAAAAAAGGATAACCTACTATAAAATTTTATGACGCTGTAACCGAAGGTTAGTTTATTTTTAGCCGATAAAACCGGGTTTTTAATAACGTTATGGAATAGTTTTTGACCGGACCTATTAAAAATTGACGTTATAACCGAGATGACGTAACTACCGAGGCCGTAATACGCGAGTTCCACTGTATTGTAACGGTAATTTAAAATGCGTGGTTCGATTTATATACAATATTTATTCATAACTTTTAGACTAACAACTAAATAAAAAAAAACGACTTACATAATTTCAGTATAATGCCCGGAAGCATATCGAGCATTCTACTAACTGTCCGGCAAATTGTGACTCAATTTAGTGACAAATTTCAAGAGATTGAAAAATTAAAAAAAATTATTCTACATTCAGAACACCGCATGTTGATTCAAATAAGTAACCATCCCTTAAATTGAAATATCATTAATATTTATGCTCCCACAGCCGATAAAACTGTTAATAAAGTTAATAAAGCGTAGTCTCAACACGTGTCAATATGACAGGAATTCTTCTTGTGGTGCCTTATCTATCAGTATCAGTGAACGGTTGTACCTTACAGAACACAGGTCAACGATGAAGAAAGTTTTTTACTTAACACACCTTATTCTTATTTTTTTTAGGGTGCTAAACCCAAATATTACACTTAAATAAGCTGTCTTCACATAGTCTTCACATTTACACTTGGTTTTATTAAATTTTATGATTTTTTATTGAATTGTAACAGCTTTTATATCGTTCAAATGGAATTTTAAAATAACTTGTACTGGACGTAGAAGAGTTGGCAACACTGCTGAAACACATTTACTATCTATTCACAGTTTCATGTTTTGTTTACTGTAAACCTAATCTCACTTTCTGATTTTCAGTAGATGTTCTCAGTAAAATGTCAAATCGTGGTTGTAAGAACTAGTCGACAGTTTTTGTTATATTTGTGGTGAGTTTGTTATTAAAAAAATTAAAGAAACATTATTGCCTTTGTGAAAAAGGTTTATTTCTCAAATTTTGAAACTAAACTTGGTGATCAGGATAAATCTTGGGCGCTGCATAAGGTATGTTATGTTTGTGTTAAAGATCTTACAAAATTGTTAAAAAAGGAGAAAACGTTTACTGTTTCTATGGTATATATTAGTAGAAACCACATCGATGATTGCTACTTTTACAGTATTGATATTACTGGCCATAATTCGAAAAACAAAAAGGTAATAAGCTACCCTAACCTAACGTCCGCCATCCGACCAGTAGGACACTATATAGATATTCCGATCCCAGAACTTCAAAATGATTTGAATTATGTTCAAACTGAAGTGTTTTAGAATGTACAGTCAGAGCTAGATGAGCAAGATGACGAAGAGTTCCAATGTACTACAGAAAATATAGAGCCTAACCTGTTTACGCAAATCGAGCTTAACCACTTAGTTAGGGATCTTGGGTTAACAAAAGAAAAAGCTGAAGTGCTTGGTTCTAGACTAAAAGAAAAGAACTTGTTTGCAGTTAGACCAGCATATATGTGTATAGGAAGAGAGTGCAGCAGTTTTTAACATTTGTTTGAACAAGAAGGTAATTTAGTGTACTGCTCAGACATTCCAGGTCTGAGGAACGAGTTCGGTATTGAATAAAAGAAGACTGGAGACTGTTTATTGATTTATTCAAAGCTAGTTTAAAAGCTATTTTATTACACAATGGTAACATTTATGTATCAATACCTTCTGTACATACGAAAGATAACAATGATAACCTAGAAATAATAGTGTTAAATAAAATTGGCTATTTTGCTCATACTTCATATATGGCGATTTAAAAGTAACATGCATGATTCTTGACCAGCAAGGTGTTTTTACCAAACTTCCATATTTCTTGTGTGAATGGGACAATAGAGCTAGGGATCGACATGGTTCAGAAAGAACTGGCCTGTGACGGTCTTTAAAACCCGGCGATATGAAAGTTCTCCACAAAAACCTTGTAGGTCCTAAAAACATTTTCCTGCAACATCTACATATAAAGTTAGGCATCAAGAAACAGTTTGTAAAGGCATTGCCTAAAGATGGACCTTACTTCAAGTATCTCTGCCAAAAGTTTCCAAACCTTTCAGAACCTAAATTTAACGAGACGTCTTTATAGGACCAACATTTGAAAAATTATGTTCGACGTTAACTTTGAAACCACAAAGACCATAAAAATGATAAAGAAGCATGGGTATCATTCAAGCAAGTTGTTACAAAATTTTTAGGAAATGAAAAAGACCCAGAATAAGGTACTATTGTAGCTAGAATTTTAAAGAAGTGTTACGATAAATATGTCTGGTAAATATTTTAATTCTTATATGTTCTAGATTTTACCTGATGGTAGAAATTCCAGGTAATACCTACCTGACACGATGGGTCCCCCTCCGATATAAAAACAACAATCGAACCTTCTGGAAACAGGCCGCTATAAAAACCAGTTCGAGATCATTCGCCGCTCTTCGTAGCCGAGAAGGTCATCGAACCTTCGACGGTGTTCCATTCTAACAGATGTTTTCATATAAATATAACGGAGCTTTCATTGTGGATTCAGTCAGAAGATAAATCGCGGCGGGTTTTTTTTTTAATGTAACGCTCGTATAAATAAATTATGTAATTATCAGCGTAAGATAAATTATTAGTATAAATAAACTTTAAATTAAGTTGTAAGTGTTATAAATATAGAATCTTTGATAAATAAAAAAAAAACAATAAATTAGAATTAATAAAGACTTAACAGAAGTTTAAAAAATTAGGATTTTTGATTAGCCTGAAAGTTCACTTTTTGAACAGTCATCCTGATTTCTTTCTGGAAAATTTTGGAGGCGTTAGTGAAGAGCAGGGCGAGCGTCTTCACCAGGACACATTAAATTAATGGATATAAATGATACCAGGGTCGCTGGAATACTAATACGATGCAGGACTACTGTTCGTTACTTCACCGAAAAGCTCTACAAGCCACTCATCGCAGAGAAAGAAGCTTCAAGCTACAAGAAGCTTCAAAGGAAAAACAGAGTATAAATCAATTCCATCTGACTAGTGAAACCTACATTACTGCACTATTATTTCAAGTAACTTACTGTAAATAAAAACCATGATTGTGATTTAACATAGCGTTTCATTAATTTTATCATACCCCGTGTAGGGATTTTAAACTATGTAACAAAAAGCAGGTTGCTCAAAAACTATGAGTGAAAAAAAAAATAAGAGTAGATTTGGTTTTAGCACATAAAAATCAGCTATTTAGGTCAAAAAAGTTTTCAACCAAAATTTCACATTCTGCACACTTTTATAAATTATTCTCCTCTATTTGTCACGTATTTGCGAGTTGAACATTGTAGTAAGAAATAGCTTATATCGTACTCTGCACCACGTTACCACTCATTCCGAATGTCATTAACATCTAGATTTTATTGTTAATATGAAGTACATAGTTACAGGAGTTTCGGAAAATTTGTAAAGCAGAAATATCTTATTACTCTTAGCTTTGTTGATTTAACTAATTTTGAATTATGCAAATTTTATTTAATTTTTAGAGAAGATGTTCCCATTGTGGCAGGAAAAGCTATGGAAGTTTTAGCTACAATAACTATTCGTTATAGATACGAATCCCATGCTACAAGGCTATCCATTCTCTCAGTCATTCAGAAAATATTAGAAATACTTCGCAACCATTTTGAATTATCATCAACTGAACTTGAGAGAGTATTAGAACTTCTAGGGCCCATTATCGAGGTCGAGTATACAGTAGTACACGAATATAGTTGGAATAACGAATATTGGGCATTTGATATCGAAACTAGGGAGCCGTTATTACCGTGGATGTTATGTGTTACCATTGTGAATGACATTTTTCTCTTTCAGAATATTCCAGAAGTAGCTTATTGGTTTTCTTATGTGGGAATAATACCAAAATATACAAATTGTATAAGCGAATTTTTAAAACATCCTTCTGCTATACCTTTGGTCAAACTTATGTTCCATGGTTTGGCCCTTTATGCAAATTCCAAAATCGGATTCGATTTTTTGAATTTTGATTTCAATCGATTCTTCATGAAAATTGAAGTTTATATATATAAATTACTTTACGGAGAAAATCAAAAGGTAAGACACATCTCTGTACTTGAAACATATGTGTAAAAGTTTTATTTATATATTTTTATTGAAATTTATGTATCTATTACAGATACAATTTTATCACATTACATTACTAGAATACACAGTTTCCTTCCAATTGATAAAGAAAACTACATTAAATATTGTCCAAATAATATTTATGAACATCTAACTAAACTACAGTTCTTCTAAATTTCCTGGAAAAGCCTGGTTTCACAGAAATAATTAATAAAGGTGTCTCTTCTATAAAGTAACCGAGTATTCACAACTGCTAAATCAAATATATGGAACACAACCCGGAGGTACCACTTTTTAGAACGAATCCTAGCTTTATATAAAGCCATCAACGAGTCCGTTAAGTCTACTACGTTTTTACGCCCATACATTTATTATAAAACTTTACAATGTTAGGACATTCCACAAGAACGGTTTCTTTCTGTGCTTTGTCCCATCTTTGAACTTAACTTGTAAGATAGGTGCATACAAACGAACTCAGTAAATGCACCGGCTTGTTGTCGTACCATTTGACTGCTCTAAGGGTTATTCCTTCTTTCTTTTAGACAAGTTCTTCAAAACTCCCTCTTCTTTTCTTTTTCATATCTTTGTCCGTAGAGAAATTATATCGTTTCAATCGGTTAGGATTTACTGTACCTACAGAGGTAATACCCATCGTGTCCAGTTCAATTTGCAATTGCTTACTTGTAAACCAGTTATCAAAATATATCTTTTGGTAAGCTTCTTCTTCTTAGGGTGCATGTCCGTTCCGAACGTTCGCAATCATTCTGGCTATGATGATTTTGTTGGTTGCTATACGAAATAGTTGTGTTGAAGTTTTTCTATATCATGCTCTCAGGTTAGCAAGCCAGGATATTCTTCTTCGTCCTGGGGCCTTTTCCTTCAATTTTACCTTGCAAAATGCATAGAAGTAGCTCGTATGTGCCTTGATTTCTTATTATATGTCTTAAGTACTGAAGCTTACGGCCCTTCACGATATTGACCAAATCCGCAGTTGTGTTCATCATCCGCAGTACTTCTTCATTGGTGACTTTGTCTGTCCATGATATCTTCAGGATCTTTCTATAGACCGTAGCTTAAAAGCCTGAAGTTTTCGCCTTCAATGTTCACGTGTCTACTCCATACAGAAGCACTGAGTACACATAACATTTAAGGAGCCTTATTTTTGTTTCTAGGATGAGGACATGGCTCTTGAACACAGAACTCATAGTCAAGAATGCACTTTTTGCCTTTCCGATGCGACATTTAATCTCTTAGGTATTGTCCCACGACTCATTGATTATAGTTCCCAAGTAGTTGTATTGTGAGACTCGTTCAATTCTCATTTGGTTCACATACAAATTTGCTCCAGTTATCTTTTCCTTGCTGATGATCATTAGCTTGGTTTTGCTGGTGTTTATATCCAGTCCATATTTTCTACTTGTTTCCGTTATTTTGTTCATTAAGTTTTGCAGCCCTTCTATGGTATTGGAAAACACCATTGTATCATCTGCACATCGCAGGTTATTGAGCTTAACTCCATTTATTGAGATGCCTTCATCAATATCTTTTAGAGCCTCTTCAAAAATATGCTCCGAGTACAAATTGAATATCAGTGGTGAAATTATGCACCATTTAGCCCTATTCTGTAACTACAAATCGAATAGAAATGAGTCAAATCGAATAGAGGTCAGCAAGTCGGATCGCAATTTGTAGGAATCGGTATTCTGTAACTCATCTCGACCTCTACGATCGGAATGTTGTGTAGAAATTGATTTCGACTAGACAAGCTCTGTTGAGATCAAATTTCGATATCGAAATTGGTCCTGACGCTTGCGCATTGGTTGTTTTGACATTTATTTGTTGACTTGTTGATATAAATTTTTGTAGCTGCTTCATTTTTTAGTCTGTGATGTTATTTATTTAGATAAAGTTTATTAAATAATTTAACTGCTCAGCAGATATCTTTTTCTTTCCTGTTCCGCTTGCTATTTTGTATTTTTGTAAAGAACTTTTCAAACTTAATCAAAACCTATTAAAAAAACTACTTGACAAAAACTTGAAATAGAATATTTTTTGATGAATTTTTCGCACGCATTAGCCTTTTCAGTAACATAACGTCACAGAACCCTTATTTGACTTTTTAATGCGGGGTTGCCACCAAATTCTGAGTGTGTCAAGTAGAAGTTGACATTTTCGATTTACACTGATTACGATGTGAGTTACAGAATGCCAATCCAAACACGAAAACAAGGCGATAGATATCCAACATTCCGGTTTCGAGTAATTACGATTTGACTTAGTGATTTCTATTCGATTTGTCAAAATTTACAGAATAGATCTGAATGTCTCACTCCCCTTAAGATATTGACCTGATCTGTATATTCTCTATCTATTCGGAGTACCGCTGGTTGATTCCAATACAGATTAGCTATTATTTTTAAGTATTTTCCGTCAATCCCTGCCATCTTCAGCACTTCCATAATTTGTTCATGTCTGACTCTATCGAAAGCCTTCTTGTAATCAATCAGGCATGTAAAAACATCACAGCTGACATCTCTACATTTCTGAAACAATACGTGCACGCTAAATAAAGCTTCCCTCGTACCAACGGCGTTCACATATCCAAACTGATTGGGCGCAATTTATTCCTCGCATTTCCGGTAAATTCTTTTGTGGATGACTTTTAAAAACAGCTTCAGCAGATGGCTTATGGTCCTATAATCTTCACAAACTTTTGCTCCTGATTTTTTGGGCAATGGTACGAACTCCGATTTGAGCCCCTCTACTGGTATTTTTCCTACCTTGTATATTTCATTAAGTATTTCAGTTATTATTTTTATTTGTTCTTCATCTAATAGCTTCAACAGTTCTGCAGGAATTTCATCAAGTCCCGGTGCCTTTCCATCCTTCATTTGTCTGACGGCTGCCGTTATTTCTTCTGGTAGGATTTCGGTACCTGAATTTTCTTCAATGGTGGGCTCTTGTATTGTTATGGTAAGCATTCCTTGGAATTATTGTGGCCAATCGCCACATTTCCGCTGATTCCAACCTTTGGCAAAATATTCTAGATGCTCTTCTTTACCAGTATACAGTTCAAAATTATATACAATTTCGTTGGTATCACATAGGAGAAACGCTTTATAGCCCCACTTTTTGGGTTTGTTTTTTTTTATACATTTTTTGATTGTTTTCTTTTGGAAGGAATAACTTGTTTGTCCACTGATAGTTTTTCTGTCATTGGAATTTTCCGAAAATTTTCTATAACTGGTTCTAAAAGCGGTTTGATTTTGTATAACTTATCTCCGGGAATTATTTGATATTGTCATTGAAGTGGATATTGTTCTTTATTTGTTCCCAGCTAGTCCGACTCATAGTTTCTATAAAAACTGATGACTGAGTAGACGCTTTCCAGTTCATTCTAGTTGAGGGTAAACCATATACTGACATAAACAAACATACACCGAAAAACTGTTCTGTTTACTATGCAATTGCGTTTTGACTATATTGTGGTGCTTGGTCACCATCTTTATTGTCCTGTTTTTGACTTCAGATGCCTGCCCCACTGGTAATATCTTCAGCACATCGTTCTGCGCAAGACCAATATTGTTAAAGATGGGAGTACGTGCGCTGTTATCAGCATTTATTCTTTCTTAAATTATACTACTTACAATCGCCCAAAGACCCGAGCATTTCTCTTCCAAGTAGAAAAAAACATGGCACACACACAACCCTTTCTGGGTCCTGGCTTGTTCTAGGATTTTCCTCCATTCTGTTCTGTTCTTTGCTTTGTTTTTCCAGTTCAGATCAGTGTTTTCAGATTTTGTTCCACTTGTTCCATGTATCTAAGTTTGGGTCTTCCCTTTGACCTTTTCCCTACTGGGGTTTGCCTCATTATATGTTTTGGCGTTTCAGTCTCCAACATCCGTTCAACATGGCCCATCCAGTGCAGACGTCCGATCTTTATGGATGTTACGATCTCGGGTTCATTGTATGCTGCGTATAGTTCAAAGTTATATCTTCTGCGCCATATGTCATTTTCCTTTACCCCCTTATATATGTGTCTAAGGATTTTTCGTTCAAATGTACCTAACAGGTTCTCATCGCTTTTCGACAGTCTCCACGTCTCTGATCCATATACAATGACCGGTTTTATCAGTGTCTTGTATATTTTGCATTTGGTTTTTCTTGTGATGTTAGATCTTAGATGTTTAATTAGTCCATTATATGTTTTATTAGCGATATGTATTCTTCTCTTAACTTCTTCACTGATATTGTTATCTGCGGTAACTAGTGAACCTAGATATGTAAAACTTTTCACGCTTTCGATGTTATAGTCTCGTATTGTCATATTCTGTAGGTTTCTTTGGCCTGTCGATTTACTGGCTTTCATGTATTTGGTTTTTATTTCGTTAATGTTTAGGCCACTTTTCTGCCGCTCTTTCTATCGCATTAAATGCTTCTATCATATTTCTTTCGCTTCTAGCTATGATATGAACATCATCTGTAAATGCCAATATTTGTACACTTTTTGTTATTACTGTTTCTTTGGTGTTGACTTTTGACTCCTAATTATTTTCTCTAATGCGATGTTGAATAGAATACAGAATAGGGCATCTTCCTGTCGTAGGCCCGTTCTTACATGGATTGTATCTTTTAGTTCGTTTTGAATTCGAATTTGGTTTTACTTTAAATGTTTCTTTTACTATATCAATGAGTTGAGTTGGAATATTAAACTCTTTGTTTAAAAAAAGATCATTTTCAACCGCAGCAGGTGCCAAGCATACAGTGGTAACTTCACTTTATATCTTTTCTTTTTTTATATATATTTTTTATATCTTAACGTAGATAACTTAAATAATGCTACCAAAAGTTAAGATGAAGTCATACAATAAAATTCAGTGAATCAATGATTTTCTTAGTTCTTTTTCACTAGTTAATATTATATAAAATATTATATGCTTATTAGACCACGTGTTCTGTTGCTTTGCTAATGTTTACTAAGTCTCTAAATGTTGTTAGTTATTTAATTGTTTATACAATATCACCATATGATGTCCATTTATTTGAGTTTTTGTACTATCTTTTTAATACCATTGACAACTACATATCTTTTTAAAGATGAACTGATGATGCTATCAGAATTCGATAGCGAAACGTCTTCAAAATAGATGAAGTAGTATCAACTTTGTCTTTTATTTCTCCACCTAGTCCTAGACCGATATTTGAACCCACCACTCGTCTGAGTGATCCTTATTATATATATATATATATATATATATATATATATATATATATATATATATATATATAGCAAAAACCTAAAGAAACGTAAGGTACTGTTAATAACTGATTTAAATTATATTTTTGTTATAGGTTAATCCACTAATAATTGAAGAAGGATGGTCGATAACTTCATCATTGATTCAACTAATCACAGCATGTTGCAAAAATATGCAAGATTTGGCTATCTCTAAGGTTCATATTTTCCTCAACTTGGCTGAGAAAATTTTTGAGTATGTCTTCGGAATGGTAGGAACTACGGTGGCTTTGAGAGCATTAGATCTTATTATCAGCATGTTGATGCTATTTGATACTTTGCAAGTAAATTGGAGTTCCGACTGGTACTACAAGTCTAATGGGTCTTACGTATATCTGATGGTGTGTATAACTTTTTATTTTTTTTACGGTATTTTAAAATTTTTCATTTTATTTTAGAATGGGGTTAAGAAAGTTATTAACGGATGTCTTTATGCAATTTTAAGACCCAAAAATATAATGGTATATGTAATAGATAATACGAACCATGCTTGCATGTGTGATTACTTTCCCATGGAACTAATGATTGCTATTGTAAACAGGTAATAATTAGTTCACTATATTCTCTTTATTTGTAACATAGTATTTTTAAAGTTTCTTAAAATTTTTGCTTGCCGAGATAGTTTTAAAGATTAGTTAGCAAACTGACATGTGTGTCAGTATATCGATGTCAACCGTCAAATGTCTGTCGAAAATGACAATTAATACTCACAGAAAATCTTTTTTATCATTTTCTGACTTTTGTCGGAAGTAAGCATTGTTTTCTATTGACTGGACCATTCCTCCAACATATTAATATAATATTCCTAATTTGTCTATTTTTATAATCTTTGTGACGGCAATCCCACAACACGCTCCCTAGATATATCAGTTAAATGCATAGTTGCGTCTTTTGACCACTCCGTTTTTTCCACAAATCTCAAAAAATATCAAAACAAAATGACAAAAAATATGTCCCGTATTCACTCGCTTCCGATTTATAATACAACTGAAGAAGAGATTAAAAACATTAAGTGAGGTCGCAGTACCAACATATGGCACCAACATGTTGCCAACATCCTTTCATCCTTACCGCTCACCGACGGGTAACAAATAACTTGTTGAAATAACACGCAACGTGTTGATTTTTAGTAGAATTTCAGTAACATGTTGAATAATATTGTTAATAAAATGTTATGTTAATTAAGTGAGGACGCGCCTTAAGTTACTTTATGTCCCAACATGATTCTTCTGACGGATCCACAAGTTGTAAAATGATGAATCTTACCTCAAACATGGGTTTAGATGATGCTAAAAAAAGAAGTTAAAGAAGATTCCAGGTAGAACCTATTTCTGATCTGATTCTGCGTGAAAGGATAAAAATTGTGCTAATTCATCATCAGAAAATAAATTCTAAATTAAATTAAGGGAGTTACTGATGGAAGACAATTACGCCTTCCAAAACTTTTACAGGTTTGCAGGATGCAGAAGAAACTGGGATCAATTTGAAAGCTTTGCCACGAAAAACTCTTCCGTCACGTTGTGAATTAGCAGCACCTGGACCTAAAATAAGCAAGGATCGTATAAATACCTTAGTTTGTGCTAAAGCGACGGACAGTCAATGATTGCCCATGCTTGTCATTGTTAAATGCAAGAAACCACGTTGTTTTAAACACATTGATATGTCTGGGATGCCTATCGTTTACAGCTAGCAAAAGAGTGTTTGGATGGATAGTCCATCAATTAAAGATTGGCAGAAAAGAGAAAACATTATTGCTTTTTGATAACTCCCCAACTCATCGATGCTGGAATGAAACAAACCTGTCCTTCAAAAACTCCGTGACTTATCCGCTCGTAAACGGATAGTTTTGCTTCGACAGACGAGACCTTTTTTTAGCGATAGTAATTAACGTTTAAAAAATTCAATTCTCATGTCCCCCAGTTAGTTCAGATAATCGACGCTCTACATTATATATATATATACAGTGTAGGAAAACGTTTATGGTCGGTATGGACCTTACGTGAGATGGAGTGAGAAACAGGTGTTTAAAAAGATTAGGTCCGCCCTTATTCGCCAACATGTATGCGTGGAAATAATAAAAAAGGGGAAGTTCAACGTTGCCATACTTATTGGTTTTATTTGACCTGTTATCTTTTTTGCATTTGAACAATGTTCTAAGGTAATCAAATTTGGGCGAAATTGATTTAAACGGAAGCTTACTGTTTTTTTATTGGCAATATGCCACAAGTTTACTTTACAATAAGTATAATATAACATTTTGATTTCCACTTCGGCAAACGTTTTATATAAATAAAATTTATTAATGTTTCGTATTTTAAGTACGATTTCCAAATTAAAAATCTAAACATCAAAATAAGCTTATTTTAAAGTCACATTGTGCCTTATTCCCAATAAGAAATAATAAACTGCGTACAGTAACGCCACATTAAAAAATCTTCATACACAATAATTATTTGGCAACGTCTGTCTCTTTGGTCAAAACACCGAGTAACAAGTAGTAGAAGTGGGTCGTGGTAGTTTTATCGTTAAGAGCGTAGGCCAAAAATTTCGGGCCAATGTTTTTTAAGTGCATTTATTTTTTCGAATCCTGAGAAAACTAATAAATATTTTTGAAAAATTTAAAGGAAGAATGAAACAATACATTACAAGGGACTTTCGACCCTCGGTAATAATTTAATCTTTTATTCTGCATTTAAATTTTTCAAAAACATTTGTTAGTTTTCTCAGGATTCCAAAAAAATATGAATGCATTTAAAAATTTAAGTTTTCGTAAACAAGTAACTATGATTGGTTAAAAGTACTTTCAAGTACGAGAGTACCTACGTAAATAAACATAATGGCTATTATCGTTTATGTGTATATTTACTGAAGTGAAAGAAACTAATGATATATTTATTATAACTTGAAAAATAAACTAAATAATACAAATAGTAAATCGTACTTACATTTACATTACACGTTATTATTAAATCGCGAATCGAAACTTTTTCTACTTTACTTCTTGTTAACCGTGTTCTTTTTTTATTAAAAATTAAACCAGATTTTGAACATGTGTTTACATTTACAATACTTTATGAATATAGTGGTTAGGTTAGGATATACAAGACGATGGCTTTTCCACCGTTGTAATGGACTCTCGATACAGGTGTACATGTAGATTAGTCATCTCCAATTAATTGATCAAAAATACACCATGGAATTAAGTCATCTCTATCGGTTTCTTTTTCTCGTACTGGTTGATTTTCAATAGTGCAATCTTCTTGTTCGTTAATTATAGAAGTAACCAGGTCTTAACTTTTTCTTTTGTTTTTTTAGCTTCATTTTTATCAGAAAAACCATTCACTTTAAATCGTGAATCCATAAATGTACATAATGACAATGTGCCACTCTGTTCTATCCCTCTAAATCTGTTTGCCAAACCCGATATTAGTAATTGTACTACGTTGGATACTATGGATGTAAGGTTACCGTTTGCTAAAATTTTATTGCAAGATTCTTGCAGGCAGCTTACCATAACAATCACTGAACTACCCTTCGAGTATTTTTGGCCACTCATTGTACTTGTTATTTCTTTAAACGGCCGTAAAATATGGGAAAGTTGAGAACAAATAATCCAGTGTTCTTTATTTAGATTTGGTCTAAGTATAAGTCTGTATTATTTAATACCAATGTGGAACGGATTGCCGCTTCTAACTCGGTCTTTCTTTTTAACATGTAATAGGTGAAGTTCTACTTAGTTTCCACGTCTTGGATTGGCCGTTTGGGAATTTTGTTATGTTGTAATTAATACTTTAAAAGCCTTTCTGAAGATAAGGTACTTTTTTTGAAATGTGTTTTTTTGCCGAATTGTCGAAAAAAGGACTTTTTATTTTATCTAATTGTACACGAGAACATTTAAGTGCGTCTTCCACCAATAAATTTAACGTATGAGCAAAACAACTTAAATGTTTTCATTCCAAAATATCTTTAATAGCTTTGACCATATTTGAGGTATTATCAGTTACTGCAAAATTTACTTTTCGTTTTAGACCACACTGATTAATAATTTCAGAAGCGATGTTTTCTGAATTATGAAAACGGATGAAACGAGTCTTTGCATAAGTTTAATAAATCTTGAAAATCAACCAGTACAAGAAAAAGAAACTGATAAAGATGACTTAAGTCCATGGTGTATTTTTGATGAATTAATTGGACATGACTCATTTAAACATACACCTGTATCGAGAGATATAAAAGAAGTCGACGTGTATTTGTCTGATAATATATTACCCACAAAAAATTTCGAACGGAGATTGGAACTGTCCATTACCGTGGTGGAAAAACCATCGCCATGTATATCCTAACTAAACCACTACATTCATAAAATATTGTAGTATTGTAACAAAATATTTTCCTTGTAAACACATGTTTAAAATCTGGTTTAATTTTAAATAAAAGAAGAACACGGTTAACAAGAAAAGTAAAAAAACTTATGTTTTTAAATGTCAATTTAGACGATTCGCGATTTAATAATGTGTAATGTAAATGTAAGTACTATTTGTATTGTTTAATTTATTTTTCAAGTTATAATAAATATATCCTTCGTTAGTTTCTTTCACTTCAATACTTATACACATAAACGATAATAGCCAATATGTTTGTGTACTCGCTAATTATAATACTGGTAAACAATCAACTAGTTACAGTTTACGAAAAACGGTTCCGATAAAAATTTAAAAAACTAGAGGACCCACCTCTAGTTTCTTAGCTATATTAGGATCGGAACCAGAGAATATGTAAAATATCTCTGATCGGCACTAATCGTCTCACTAATGGGTAATCGGTGTTAAAAAGATTTATGGAGGGGAGACCAAGGGGAAATATGATTGTTATCTTTGTCTATTCGCTGAAAATATGATTTTATATCTGCGTTAGATATCCTGTTAAATTTTAATTTAAATACCGACCATAAACTTTTACCTACACTATATATATATATATATATATATATATATATATATATATATATATATATATATATATTAATATATATACCGGGTGATGAATCGTCAAACGGACCATAGGAAACTCAATGGGAAATTTTAAATTGTTGAATTGCTGCTTCCCTAATTATTTTAGATCAAAAGTCATAAAAACTATTTGTAGAGGACTAAATTCTAAATTAAAACAAATGTTAAAACCGTTCTACGAATCAAATGTACTTCAACATTTTGCAAAAATATAATAGATTTTTCAGACCACCCCTAAAAGTTAGGCCACACGTAATATGGTCTGATGTTTGACAATTTGAATTGTCAATTTTTTTATTTTATGATTAAATTATAGACAATGAATTTTACTAAATACTACTACTACTAAACAATGTTACTTTGTGAACAATAAATTATATTGTTTACAAATCGATCAATATAATGAAATGTACTCAGTTGACGAAAAATCGCATAATGTTGTATTCAGGCAATAGCGCGAACCTTTTCCTGTCACTACCGGATCTTTATTTAACGTAAGATATTCTAATACACTAAAATTTAATTCCATGTTAAGTTAAGTTATAAAACAATTCAATGAATTCCAATATACTGTTACTGTGATCTTTATTCCTAATAATAATATATGATAATTTCTAAACATAAAACTATAACAAATGTTATAATAAAACATGAATAAAATATTTTTATTATTGCTCTTTTCTCCTTAACTGAGTACATTTTTTAATCAACTTAATTTTTCTTTTAAATAATAAATCACAAAATGTTGGCCATTTAAATCATAGATAAATATAATATAGTTGATTTAAATATTGTCAAATATTAGAAACGTCAATATGACAAAACGCAACACGTAATACACATTTTTTTCACGGCGTATGGCCTGACTTTTAGGGGTGGCCTAAAAAATGTATTATATTTTAGCAACATTTTGGAATACGTTTAAGTCGTAGAACAATTTTAACAATTGTTTTCGATACATATTTGAATCCTCTACAAATAGTTTCCCATGACTTTTGGTGTAAAATAATTAGAGAAGCAGGAATTCAACAATTTAGAATTTCCCATTGAGTTTCCTATGGCCCGTTTGACGATTCACCACCCTGTATGTATATATATATATATATATATATATATATATATATATATATATATATATATATATATATACACAGATTGAACCAAATTAAAACGGAACATACAATTTAATACATGTCTGTTTGAACTGCATTTGAAATAGTGGACCAATATAAAACTTGGACAAAAATAAATTCATACCTGGGTATAGACATTGTATAAAATATCGTTCAACTATCTGTCTCACAACAATGTTGTTTGCGTAAGACGGGTTTGTCTAAGGAAACGATAATAGTTCAGGAAATTAAGCTCGAAAAAAGTTAAAACCTCGCAATTTTTTCGTCCTGCATATATCCAGTTGAAATTTTAACAGAAGGTAGGTGATAGCTCAAGGATCAAAATCTATATCGAACTGAAGTGCGCTGAAGGGTTTTAGGGGTGAAAACTACCCCTAATTGTCAAAAATTATAAAATAATATATTAAACCTGAATATGGGTAAAATTTGGTTTGAATTGATTAAATAATGATAGTTTCGTGCTTTTGAATAAAGTTCCATCATATTTCAGCCCTTAAAAAGCGACCCTTATTAGAGATTAATATAAAAAAATTAGTAATGCGAAGAAAATGACTTCACCTTGGAACGATTTGCATACAAATTTGGAATTAAGCTCAACTCACCCTCTGCTTTATAGTTTATGTCATGCCGATGAACCCTGATTGTTCTTAGGGGTGAAAACTACCCCTAATTTTCAAAAATTGTAAAATAATATTATAAATCTTAAGATGAGTGAAATTTGGTTAGGATTAGTTAAATAGTGATTTTTATATACTTTAAAATACAAATTCATACATTTTCAACCCTTAAAAATCAATTGTTATGAGTGCTATCGGTGAAAACAATTTTTTGCCAAAATTTTGCAACTTTTCAACTTTTGAAAATCACCCTTTACAACATTGCAGTTTTTATAAACTAATTTATAAGATATAAATTGAAAAAAGTAGAATTAAATACAAAAAAATTTTTATCAACATAAAAAGGCACCATATATTCTTATACATTTACATAAATAGTTGAAAATATTTACATTTATAGGTAAAACAATTATAATATTAATTTTATTCGTCATCAATTACATCTTCATCGTGATCTATGTCATCCTCATCTTCAATTATTGGTGAACTATTATTGCACCCTTCACCTGACCAACCAGAACAAGTAAAGTTACAGTATAAACCAACTTTTCTGCACCCACATAAAACACCGCATCCTTTTTTGCATTGGCAAAAAATAATTTTCAAAAGTTCATCGAGTGCAGGTTGTTTGTTCATGCGTACGGGTAATAACAAACCATATTTGGAATACCATCCCCAATCTGTTGCTCTGATATTTTCAATGCCAAGCCATAGACATATGAGCAGATGTTTTATTCTGTTGTGTGGGATTTCAAAATTAGAACGCTTAAAATTTCGAATGTATAACGCCCCACTAGCTAATATACCGGTTTTGTAGATTATTATGCTCCGAAATGTACTGTACTATACTAATGGAATTTTCCGGAAAAAAATTCAGTTTTTTTTAACGTATTTCCTTTAATTTTTAACGATAGAGTGTTTCTTCAAAAACGATTTGTTGAGGTTTTTATGAGCTACAAGGATCTGTGAATTAAATCTTTTTGGAACCCTTGGTTTTTAAATGGGGTGAGTTTAAAGGGCTCGAAAAAGATGGTGCTTGATCGTAAATCGATGCTTTAAACGGCTATATCTCGCCAAATATTCATTGTACAACAAATCTAAATAAATGATAATTTTAGTCATTAAAAAGCTACAATTTGGTAATTTCTATTTTTTTCATATATTCAGTATTTTCGGGCATATTTAAAAAAAGAAGGGTAAAAAATATGAAATTGTAAATTCGTTTCTCGCTTTAAGCTGTACTTTTTCTAACACAAAGCATTTTAGATGGGTCAAGTTTCTTGAACGTATTAACAATACATGTACAAAGGGAATTGCAGAAGGGTGAAGATCGATTTTAATTATGGGCGTGGTTAGGGGGTTGTTTTCATCGGTTTTTTCGTAAAAAATGAGGTATTGACCTTATTTTCATCATAACTCACTCAATTTTTGAGCTAGAGTCTTTTTTATGATATGTCTATTTATGCTCTTTAAAAAAGGTTTTGTGAGTTTTCTTCCAAAAATGCATCATTTTCCCGATACTTATTTGACTTTGAATCTTTCAAATTTGGCATTTGAAGAAAACCGCTGAACATTGATAGGCCGTATTTTGGTTCCTATTATACCCAGAGATGGGGTGGCAACCACCCCCTAGGCTTTGGCGCACTTTGGTTCGATATAGATTTTGATCCTTAGGCTATTATCTACCTTCTGTTAAATTTCAAGTCAATCCACGAGGCACGAAAAAATTGCGAGGTGAAATACTTCATTTCCTGGACTATAACTGGTTTGACAGCATAAATCGTAGATTTATGTGTAGCTTTCAATTTTTATGATTTCAGAATCCAGCAGCCCGCTGAAGTATGAGATTTTTATAACATAATTATTTGACAATCTTTTGTTGGCCAACCACTTACAGCAGAATTGAGCCGAAATACATTATATTCCTATGTTCCGAATTTATTTCGTTCAATCTGTGTATATATATATATATATATATATATATATATATATATATATATATATATATATATATATATATATTATCTATCCATAAACTACCATATTATTCTATCACAATTTAAATTCGTGCAATATTTGTATTTAGTCAAAGATTTTTGTGTGAATTTTTTCTATTTATTTATTTTATATTTTATAGATTGATGACGGCCGTTGGTCTAGGATGCTCAATTCTCTACGGAGTTAATGCAGGATTAGTGGACCTTATGACAGAAATACCTCAAATTAAAATTGATGTAATGATCGAGAACGACTTCAGTGTTCCCAAGTTCGAACTGCCAGTAACAAGTAATCTGACTTACGGCATGCTATTATGTCTAGCACATTTTATGTGCAAGACATTGGAAGCCATAAGGCAGCAGGGTGCCCCAAAAGATCTACAGGGAGCTGAAGATACACCTATATCGTTATTTACGAGAGTGTATGGAATGGTACAACATGAAGGATTTGAAGATAGCTACCCAACCCAGCAGCTGAGTGCTTTTTTAAGATATGCTATGTATGAGTATACAGGACTAGCGGATCCTTGGACTCTTAATCTCGATTACAATCGAGTGAAAACTTCCTTGGAATCTTTGATGATGTTTTTAGGACAACAAATATTTTTAACTATTAATATTGCCCCCTTTGATAACGAAAGTTTCTTCAAATTCAGAAAGAACCTTCATTCAGAATTACAGTTCTTCTACGAACACGTTAAAAAAATAACCTCCTTGATATTGACCGAATCTAACTCAACACCTATAGGGCAGTTCGAAATGGATGTTCTTAAAAAGTTTTTTTTGTATTATAGAGAGACGGGACAATACGATAAAATTGTTGACACTAATTTCTGTGTTATACTTTCCAGTTGGTTCATTGGTATAAGTAAGTTGAAGTGATAAAGTTCTGTATGATATGCTGTATAAAATTTTTAACCTCATAAATTATTGTTTGAATTGAATTTGTGAACTATACTTTCAAATGAATATATTGATTGGTATATGTAAAGTGATAATGTTTCTGTTTGTATAAAATTGTAAATAAATAATTTGTAAACTTTCAAGTTTCTCATTATTCTACAGACACTTATGCACTGCAACGTATATGGTAGGGAAAGTTTAATTTATCAGAATATTCATCAGAGGTATATCCACAGGAACGGAGTTTTTATATTTATAACATTGCAGTTTAAAAAATACGTTAAAAATTTTACACCTGGTAGTGACAATTAAATAGCAGACCATTTAATGTAAATGTTTAGGTATACGCCTCTACTGCAAAAAATACGACAATGAAGTTGTCGTATTTTTTGCAGTAGAGGCAAGAATATTTTTAGTCAGTTAAAACAGACACTTAAAAGCCTAAAAGGAAATAAAGTTATGTATATCCTTGGTGATTTTAACGCGAAATTGGAAAAGAATAAAGATCTGAGAAAAAACGTGGTTTAAACTACACAAGAAAAGGCTTTATATATGGAAGTGATCAGGAGATAATCCACATTACAATCAGAAATTAGATAGACTATATTCCAGTAAATCTTTTTCTTCTTCTAATGACACAAACCTATGTGGGTATTGACCTACTTAACAACGTCCTGACGTTACACCCTGTAGGATTTTTTCCTACGCCACTGCCTGATGTTTATGGTCTACATCGCAAGATCTTGCTCTACATCGTCTATCCTCCTTCTACGGGTCCTTCCTATTGGCCTATTTCATTTGGGGTTTCCATCTCTAGATTACTTTTACAGCCCTATTATCTTACATTCTTTCTAAGTGACCAAGCCAGTTTAGTGTTTGTAACTTCACAAGTCTAACGATATCTGCGTTCTGCACTAATTCATCCAGCTCATAGTTAATTTTTATTCTCTACGAACCATCGCTACAAAGGATTGGTCCAGATATCTTTCTTAATATTTTGTGCTCAAATATTCAAAATTGATTTTCATCACTGACTGAAAGGGTCCACGTTTTACATCCATATGTGAGCACTAGTTTGATTACTGTTTTGTAGATTCTAAGCTTAGACTACTATTCAGTAACTTACTTTGCCTTAAGTCTTTGTATGCAGCTATTTATTTATATTTATTTATTCATTTATTACCGCTAAGAATCCGTGCTTGTATTTCTTGACTGACGTTGCTGTCATTTATTATTGAGCCTAGGTAGGGAAAGGTAGTTCTATTATAGTTTATTCGTCTTCCGGGTTTGGACCGTGTCATTTGTGAGTGACCCAAAAGTGGAAGAGGTAAGTAAGAAGAGGTACGACCAGTATAGGTCTTAAACTGATTCGACAAGTACTTTGCGAGTTTGTAGGTAGGAGAATTAATCGTAGTCACAATGGGACGAAGAGGTACATTGTCTTTATGGATTGTGACTACGATTAACTCTCCTACTTACAAACTCGCAAAGTACTTGTCGAATCAGCTTAAGACCTATACTGGTCGTACCTCTTCTTATGTCCGAAATTCCACACATTTCATCACCTTAATCTCCTCTCTCACGGTCGATCCCCAAGACATTCTCGTCAGTTTCGATGTATCATCCCTATTTACCAATATCCCCATACATGACTCTCTAGTTGTTCTGCGTGATCACTGGACCAATGATAACAAGTCTTTGGTTTTGGCAGATCTTGTGGAAAAATGCCTCCTTTCAACATATTTTTCTTTTAGAGGCAATTTCTACAAACAAATATCTGGAACACCAATGGGTTCTCCCCTTTCCCCTGTCATTGCTGACATTTTCATGGAAGCCTTTGAGTCTTTAGCCCTAGAATCTTACCCCTTAACACCAAAAGTCTGGTTCCGCTACGTTGATGATACATTTATCATCTGGCCCCATGGTCAACATACCCTTTCTCCCTTCCTAGATCATCTTAACTCACAACATCCGAGTATAAAATTCACAATGGAAGTAGAAAATAATCGGTCCCTTCCCTTTCTCGATGTGTTAGTCACCTTCAAGCCCAATGGCCGACTGGGTCACTCTGTTTATAGAAAAAAGACTCACACGAATCGTTACCTACATGCTTCCTCACACCACCATCCTGCCCAAAAGAATTCTGTGATTAACTCTCTCATCCATCGGGCCATTTCGATTTCTGAACCTGACAACCTTAGAGAAGAACTTGGCCATCTGCAAAAAACCCTTGTCGCCAACGGTTACTCCAAGTCCACAATTCAAAACATTACACACCGACATCTACATCCCCTTTACACCCTAGGACGACAAATTCAGAATCTTCGGGTAATACTCCTGTGGCTTTTCTTCCGTATATTCGAAGTGTCACTGATAGGATTGGCAAAATTCTTCGCAAAGAAGGTATCAGGACTACTTTTCGACCACCCAAGAAAATCTCACAATATCTACCCTCTCCTAAGGACCCATTACCGCCCCTATCTTCCTGTGGTGTCTATTCTATTCCTTGTTCATGTGGACATGTGTATATTGGCGAAACTGGTCGTTCCGTCAAAACTCGGATTCAAGAGCATCAAAGATGCATTCGATCAGGTCTTTTCTCCCATTCTGCAGTTGCAGAACACTGCCAAGAAACCGGTCATTCCATATTGTTCGAAAAAACCCATATTATTTCTAAGAGCCCCTTCTTTTATTCCAGGAAAATCCGCGAATCTCTAGAGATCCGAAAAAAATCCACATAATATCAATCGAGAGGAAGGATACTACTTGTCTCCCATCTGGAATCTCAGTCTAGAGCCGCCGTCCGGTCCCGCTACCACGATGCAGCCACATGATTGGCCAGCGCGCGCTTCTTGACGTTCGCGCCACGGAGTGTGCCGATACGTCCCGACACGACAGGTCACCGCGACTATAAATAGAGCGGTAGCGGAGTAATCGTCGGATTCACTCCCCGCCTCTCGACGCGTTAGTGTTCTGAGCTGTTGGACGTGAATCCCTGTCCTGGCATTTGGTTTTCACCTCTGGCTGCGTTAAGTAGTTGAGTTACTGTGACCAAATGCCCATCTTGGTAGTTAGTATTCGCCTCTGGTTGCGTTGAGTAACTGAGTTACCGTTGCTAACTACCCATCTTCCTGTCTTTTGATTTCTTTTTCTTTGTTCTCCTGAAGAAGCTACATACAATTGTAGCGAAACGTCGAGATGAACCCACTTTTGGGTCACTCACAAATGACACGGTCCAAACCCGGAAGACGAATAAACTATAATTCTGACTCTGGCCGTGGAAGCCTACGATTTCAAAGGTAGTTCTAATTGAAGCATGTTCGTAGGTATGGTCGTCTACCTTCAGATTCTCATGTCGATTCGACTTTGTGCACTCAATATATTTTGATTTCCTTTCATTTATATTTAGACAGTTTGCAGCAGCTTCCCGTTTCAAATCTATAGGTTTTTCGCATAATAGTCTTCTATTGCGGCTTATTATGGCAACATCATCAGCATAATATGCGCATATTTGAGTGGATCTTGTATTACATATAATACAGCTGTTCATATCTAGTTTTATGATAATAGCTTCCAAAGTTAGATTAAATGATAAGTTGATAAGGCATCGCCTTGCCCAACTCCATTTTCACGAAAAAATGCCTTTATTATATTGTCTCGTCCGAGAAAGGGGTCGAATCGCCTTTGTGTCCTCGTACGCTCTGCAGAGGGTTTCGACCGTCGCAATTTAAGAATTCTCTGCTAAGTCCATCTTTGGCTATGAGAGCCCGTGACGGACTGACTTGCCTGATCTGAAAATCGCCTACTTTTGTACACGCATATTGTAGAGGTTTTAGGGATTTTCAGGCCAATAGGTAGGATTAGATGCTAGGCGATGCGCATCAGAGTGTGCACTAGTCCACAGACTAAAGCACTCGATGACAATATCCCCATCTATTTTCACCATGACCTTAGATCCCTCCAAAGTCATTTGTAACTATGCATACAAAGTGTAACTAATCTTTTCAGTATTCCTAACTTGGATAGTTGTTTTAACATTTTTTGTTTATCTACTTTTGTTTGAAATCAATATACAAGTTGTAAATTGGTATGTTATATTCAGCCCATTTTTCATGTATACCTATTAACATATGTATTTGGTTTATAGTTTAACCTCTTTGGTCTGAAACCATAAACTATATTGGTACTGTATATAACTGCTGATAATATATTGTAGGCGACATTTAACACTATTATGCTCCTATAATTTCCGCAGTGTCATTTGTTTCCTCCTTTGTTCATAGGAAGTATGATTCCTACTTTCCAATCCTCTGGATGACTTGTAGTGTCCATATACGGCAGATTAATTTATGGATACGCTTCCATAGCACATGTTCACCATTCTTTATCAGTTTCTTTCAATGTTTGTTTCTCAACTAGCTGTTCTGTTGGGTGATGAATTATTTCTTGTTATTGGTTTTGTTCTTTTTCTGTATTTAAGAGGTCTTGAAAATGATCCTTCCACCCTTTCATTAGTTCCTATTTCTCGCTGATAATTGCCCTGTTTTTGTTCTTGCACACTGTTGTTCTTATCATGTGTCCTTGAGTGTATCGCTTGGTTTCTCTCTTTTTTCCTTCTACATACTCTCCTTGCATCCCTTCTTAGTTCTTCATACGCCCTTCTATTCAAACGGGAATTTCTTGGTAGACATTTCTGCCTAGTTGTATTTTTGCTATAGGTTGAAATGATCCGAGTCACAATTAACGCCTATATTATCTGCTACGCAGGTTGCCCATCGCTTAGATATTAATATATGATTAATTTATTATTACCAGGTATCATCCAGGTTTCTTTATGAATAGGTTTGTTGGAGAAACACGTATTAACTACTCTGAATTTTTCCAACTTTATGTATAATCTGTCTTATTGTTGTTGAGTACAACGTCTCATCTCTACCTCTACCTTCTCCGTCACATGGTTCTGGTGGATTCCCTTTTGTTTTGAGTACAAAGAAATATTGAAAATATTTTGCACTCTTTGCATCATTTTAACCTCTGGAGACTCTGTGCATCTTTAAAGTCCATATATTAGACAAGAAACAAGCCAGCCGAGAAATAATCACTCGTTTTTGACGAGTCGATGGAAAAGATGTTATTTCAATTTTATTAATTAATAATACAAAAAAAATTAATGTCTTTATTTTTTATATAAATATCCACTTTTATTAACAATGTAAATGGAATATTACACATTCAAATAGAATATACAAAAATCTCTAGTTAATGGTATATTTAGGAAAAAATTGTTCTACCAAAATTAGGTTAATTTCATTTTTTTTACATAAAACAAATATGATCAATATTTAAAAAAATTGGTAATCACAGGAATCAAAATTTATTCACCAAATAAGTTGTTTTTTCTAAAATTACTTATGATTTTGGAAGTAAAACACGATACGCATCAATTACTAAACACATTTTTGAAAAAGGTAGGTAAGGCGTGCATTCTAGGTCGAGTGCAGTAGTCCTTAAAGTAATGATACTAACCCGATCAGAAAATTGTAAACTAGTACAGATTAACATTGTTCATTGGTTGACTTGGTAGTGCGTTAGCAAAATGTGGTAAATGTGGGGTAAAATATTTTACAAATAAAAACCCCATTTCAGAGATCCTGGTGAGAAGTTTTCAGTGGGACCATGATGTCTACTATGAAGAGTTCAAATTTTGTGCATTCAAGAAACGAGGTCAAAGTAACGACGGGAAGGCAAAATTTCTAAGCCAGGACTAGAACAAGTAGTATATTTGAAAAACTACAACTAAAAATAGAGTCTGAATAGTAGTTGATAGACAAATTAGATAGACATTTATAGAAATTTTAAGATTTTGTCTAAGAATTTGTCTAAAAAGCTCTACATATGTAAGGCCAAACCACTTGCGTAGGTTTTGAATCCATGAGTTTATTTTTTTCCCTGGACCTCTTCCTTGAAGAATAAGTTGCTGGAGGTAATGTTTGTTATGTTTGATCTCATGGCCAGAGTATGTCAGCTTTTTCTTCTTCACTGTAAACGTAACTCTTTTTGCATGCCGATTCTTCGCAATACTTCTTCATTAGTTATGTGCCATATAGCTTTTTCATAAGTTATTCTGTCCATGCTTCCATGCTTTTACCCCATTTAGTAAATCCGGGAATAGGTAACATTTTAACAATCTGACTTTTAGTGGAAGTGAAAAGTTCCTGCTAGCTTCATCTTGATCAACCTTGAAGTCGCCTTGTCAATTCCGGAATTGATCTCTATGTCATGTTCTATTTGTAAACGATCGTTTGATTTGGTTGATTTAGTCATCATATATTTGTTTGGTTTTTTACTACGACCACATATTTTGTTCTTGTCCCATTTAGTTTCAAACTCTTCAGTTACAGTGGACGGTTGTGTAGGTCTTCTTAGCTGTTAGTTAAGATGGCGATATCATCCACCCATTTGATATTCTGGATGAGTTTTCCCTTAGTTCACCCTTATTCCTTCTGAGGCATCATGAGTGTGATGTTTTGCGGACTTTGATGATGGATGTGGATTCAGTTCATTCCTGGAGAAATTGGCTGTAGTCACAAACAATCTTGAACTCAGTCATTAACTTGAGAACCTCGATATGGATACCATACCATACCATTATATCTCTCTATTCCACACTATTTATAAGGTTCTCTGTCCTTGTATTTATTTCTGGTATCAATTAGCAGCAGAATTTCTTCAGTTCTTCAGTCTTGTTTGACATAAGTCAGTGTTACTGCCAAGTTATTTTCCTATTGTTTTTTATTCTGTGCAATTTTATGTAAATAAACCCTTATCACATAGGTTTTACTTTTTTATTTCAATTTAATATTAACATAAATATTTTATAAAATATATATTACACAAAATAATATTCATTCCTGTCACATGCCAACTATTAGACGACAACAGGCAGATGAGACTATCGATGTTTACATGCCATCGTTAAAACAGTCAGCAAAAGACTACAATTTTACTGGTGTAAATGCCGAAACTACCAACGTATTTGAAAGCTACGATCACATTTATAAAAGGTCTTCGTGCTGATGCTCTTATATATACTGGTAGCTCCGTCAGTTTTCGCTAACCAGTACAAACTCTCTAGGAATCTAGGAATACTTCTAGAATCTCTAGAAAGCCATAATATGGCAGCATATATTATATGCTGATTGTTTCTAGGGCCTCGTTATTACACACCTCTCAAGTCAAAGGTGTGACTAGTCAGAATGTTAAAATTGGTGACCACTCCTACTACAACATTAACTTCCTTTTAGTTAACAAAACTGATATGCTCTGTGTTGATATGATAATTAGTCTTGATGTCCTATCTAGTACTTAACTCTGAAGTTTAAATTTGGAGGATCTAAAGAAGTATTTAAGGTATGTAGTGTAGTTGCAGATCCTGCAGTTGCTTTATTTTATAACCTGATTCCGATTTGAAAACCGATCGTAGAAAATTACGCAGACACAGTGCTGAGGATCAGATTTTTATTAAAAATGAGGTGGTGAGATTATAGGACCAAACCTTGTTAAAAATTCCTCCACCAAATGACACTGTATCTCTCAGAAGTGTATTAGTTATGTTTGCGCATTATTCACAATGGGTTCCCAACTTTTCCGAAAGCGTCCACAAATAAGCTCACGTCAACAATTTTTAATTAAATGAAGCTGGTTTATCATATTTTAAAAATCTGAAATCTATTGTCGCAGTCATTTGTTCATGCTATCAACGAAAATATGTCATTTGTTTTTATAACTGATGATTCAGAATACTCAATTGCTGCTATCTTGAGTCAGGATTCCAGATCCATTGCTTTCTTTTCAAGATCTCTAGAGAACTAAACCATTCTGATGCGGAGAAAGAAGCTCATCGTCTCCTTCAGAAGCTCGTAGAATATCTGAAAGAGTTTGGCATTTACCACGGTATTTGGAAGACGATAGTGTGGGAGAACTATATGATATTAACTTGAATTTGCTGTAGACTTTGATTTAGGGACACAACTTTAACCTCTCAGGTTTTTCAGTATTTGACATAAGTCAGATTTACCAGATTATTCTCCTGTTGTTTTTTAGATTATGTACAATTTTATTTTGATTAAAACATGACATAGATTTTGTTTTATTAGTTGTTCTTCATATAATCAGCTTAGTTGTGTTCTATTTCTCCGTTGGGTCATCATTCGAATCTCTTATGTTTATCATTGGAATGAATTTTCAACCACCGTTCATATGTTCTCATCTAGAAGCTTCTTAACCTCAGTTCATCAGACAGTACCATATGATCAGACAGTACCAGTAAACTCTATATACTAAGGTAACATGGTAACCAGAAACAAGGTCGGATCAAAGGAAGATAACCAAAGGAAAACTTCAACGAAACTTTGACACTAAAAGCAAATAGTAGAGAAGTAGGTCAGGACTGTAAAAACAAATGGTCTAAAACATACTATAACAAAAAGAGAAATCTACAATGTTCATTTGAAGATGGAACTACTACTACAAATAAAAAGTTAACTTTATATGGTGAAATGATTGTTAAAATTATAGTTTTACATATTTAGATCTATTCATTTTCATTGAAACATTTTCAATATAACTGAAAGTTTTAAAAGAGTTTACTAAGATGGATTGTATGGTGCTGAATATCAGTAGTTAAACAAATAAAGGCCGAATGCATATGTTACTTAAATAGAGTATGGAGAATAAAATAGTGGGAGAGAGTAAAATGATACAAGTATGAGAAGGGGATTAATATTGGTTTGATCCAAGAAGAAACATAAGCAAAACCGTAATTAGAGAAAAAGATAAAAATAATGTTTACCGTTAACATTGTATAGAAATAAAAATGATCGGTCTTTTTATATTCTACACAAGTCTTATTCTAATATTACAAAATGAAGTCGACCCTTTTTTCTGTAGCAGATCTTTGGAAAAACTAAAATCTTATTTGGTAAATATAAGTTAGAAGTAATTTAGGTAATCTTTAACATAGTAGGTATATTTTAAGAGCATCTATTCTTGAAAGTCAGTCAAGTTTAGCAAAATATCATTAATTTAATATTGACGCTTTATGCTATTTCACGTCGACTAACAATATTAATTACACAATTAGGTACATAGAGAAGCATTCGATTACTAAATATATGTCTTAACTTGGTAAGTAACTGTTATAACCTGGAGCAACTGATTTGTTTCTGTGCGGATTTTTATTTGAATAGTTTTGAGAGTCTTCAGAGTGAGTGCTTCCGTTAGATAACAAACTTCTAACTCCCGCTACAAATTCTTTTCGATAATTGTGATCGTCCTTTACTTTTAAACCTATAAATAAAAAAAGATTAAAATGTATTTTTTATTAAAATTTTCTTATTAAAATAATTGTAGTAAACTGGGCTTACCTTTCACTTTCGGCATATTACAGCTGACTTGAGGATGAATTGTGGTTTGCCTTGAGTGTCCTTTGTCGTGAGTATACTTTAAATTGCTATTATAGTCTCTATAGTCTCGTTGTGTTTGTCTATATTCAGATAATTCACGTGTGTAAGATGTCTGTTTCGTTTCCGTATTAGAAGATTTATGATAGCTCATATCTTGGCACCCTTGATTGTATGTGTTGTTAGTTGAACACGACGAAGTACACACTGAAGAAAATGCCCCATCTGGTTCCGATCGCCGCTCCTACAAAAATATATATTTTTTTAATATATATAGTTCATTTCACATGAGTAAAATCATATTCGAAGCACATTTAGAGTTACATCGTCAGATACAGGCAAGTTAGAATTTTAAACGCGAACTCAGCACCTAGGTAGCTGAATCTAGTTCCATCTATAGAACATATTCGATGCTGAAGTCTTTACTTAATTCACGCTCCTAGTAGCCGTCATGTACGACTCGTTTTAAAAGAATTTTAATTTAAATTAAATATCGGTATTGTATGCTGTCTACCTGTTTAGTCGTGAGTGTTACGTGCAACCAAAGAAGAATATCTCCACAGATTGTCATGCTTGTCGCAAAAGGCAAGACTGAATAGAGCAGCACTCCTACTGCCCTAAACCCTTTTTCCTATTCCCCAAATCCTGACCTAACATGGGTAGTATAACCCTAATCTAACACATAATAAAACATCATGACCAGACGAAATGTCTAGCTGCTATAACCGGAGCAAAGAGAAGCTGGTTCAGAAGCTATAGGCAGTAGTACTGGCACTGGACTCCATAACAAATTGTAAGGAATCAAAACGTAAATGAAGAAGGCCAGGCAGATATAGACTCCTACTGGACCAAAATAAAGGAAGGCATTAAAGCAGCAGCGAAAGATGAAATAGGAACAGAAATTTATGCCAGTCAAAATCATTTGTTTGACGATGAATGCAAGAATGCAACAAAGTAAAAAAATGAAGCCAACAGAAAGATGCTTAACTGATGAACCAGAACAACTGTAGAGAATTACCAAACAAAGAGAAGAGAAGAAAAGAGGATACACAAAAGAAAAAACGAAACCACTTAAATAAGGAACTTAAATATAAAGAAAACTTCAACAGAGAGAAATAATTCAGAGCATTCTATAAGAAAGTTAACATTAACAGAAAATAATTCAAGGCAACCATAAGTCAATGCAGAAGTCAGAATGGCGACCTATTAACAACAAGAAAAGATGTATTGAATAGATGCGTGGAATACTTCAACCATGCATTTAATATAGAGGAAGAAGAAGAAAACCTGGAAGACGAAAGAGATAAGGTAAGTGGAACAGACGAGAAGGAAGAGAAACCACCAACGATTCTTGAAGTTAAAGATGCAGTTAGAAACTAGCCAGTAAAAAATCACCAGGAATAGATAATCTCCAAGCTGAACTATATAAAGTAGGTGGCCACGATACCATAACGACATTACAGCTGCTTATAAAAGAAATATGGACACAGAAATCCCTCCCCAAAGATGGAAATAGTGGAATACTTTGAACTATATACAAAAAAGGAGATATCTTTGAATGATCTAACCACAGACGAATTACGCTTCTAAATGCAGCGTATGAAATATTTTCATCAGTACTGTGTCATCGTATCGCACCATTTGCAGAACAGATATTAGAGTAATTCCAGGCTGGTTTTAGAGATGGTAAATCGACAATTTATTAATTATCAAAAAAAACACTGGAATGTGGCATTGATACTCATCACACATTTTTATAGACTACAAAGCAGCTTACCACTTTGTGAAAGGAAGAGAAATGTTCAAAGCAATGAAAGAGCTAGATATACCAAATCAATTGGTAAATTTAACAAAACTAACTTTTGAAAAAGTTTAATGTAGAGTGCGACTTCAGGGGGAACTGTCTGAACCTTTTAAAACAAATTAGACAACAACAACAAATTAAAAGGCTGCACCAGAGAGACCCTCTCTCCCGTATACTGTTCAATCTGGCTTTGGAAAAAGTAATACGTGTATCACAAGTCACAACCACTGGTTCAATATACAATAAATCAGGGCAAATCCTGGCCTATCCTAATAATAGCAATATTGTTAGAAGATCGGAAAACGCTGTACAAGAGGCGTATGTAGCATTAAAAAATCAGCTACAAAAATGGGTTTAATAATAAACACCAACAAACTGAAGTATATAAAAATTAGCATGCAAACACAAATACTACGACTATTTGTTTTAGAAAACGACGTCATCGAAGCAGTTAACGCATTTGTCTACCTGAAGATTATTACATATTAACACTAAAAATAATATTATCGCCGAGATAAACCGCCGAATTTACACGGCCAACAGATGCTATTTTGGGCCCAATCTTCTTAAATTCACAATTATATCGAGAAATACAAAAATAAAACTGTACAAAACAATAATACGCCCAGTCCTAACATATGAGTCAGAGACCTAGACTCAAACAAAAAGTAATGAAAACATGTTAGGATGTTTCCAAAGAAAAGTACTAAGGCAAATCTATGGAGCAGTAAATGAGAATGGAGTGCAGTGAAGACGATACAACTTCGAACTTTATAGAATATACCAGGAATCAGATATCGTAAAACATATTAATATAAGACGTCTGAGGTGGATAGGGCATATAATGCGGATGAAACAAAATGGCCCAGAACAAGTTTCCTTGATAACATCGATGAAGACATTACAAATATGCGAATACGTATTTGGCGGAGGAAGGCGATGAATGGGGACAACTGGAGAGAAATTCTTGAGGAGGCTAGGACCCACGCAAGGTTGTAAAGCTAGAATAATAATGATGACAATTCATAGTATATTATCCGAGATCAGCTAAATCCTATATTTTAAAAATTAATCTAGAAAGTCTTGTTGAAATATCTGCGAAGTTCTTAAATAAAAAAAAAGATGTTCGGTATATCCGTAGAAAAAACACCGAAAAACAAACTTTAATTGCGACATATACAAAAATCTCATATGTTTGCAATGCGCAAAAAAAGTGAAGTGTTTGTAGGATTTTTTTAAATCTAATATGGATTAACAATATATTATAGAATGTTTGTTTTTATATAAAAAAAAAATTAAAAACTAGTTCACGTTATCTGCTTCTCTTTGTAAGTAGTCCCAGGGACCCAGTTGCAGTGGTTAAGAAACATATTTATGTGAGTAGTTGTTACAGGATAATTTTTTAAACTGCTTCTAATATATTAACAACCTAGATATTTAATTACATTGTTTTAGAAGGTGTAAAATTGAAAATAGACGTTTGACCGATATTTTTGTATGGATTTTTAGCAGTGTAAATCTACTAACTATGATCCATTATACACAATATCGTAAAACTTATACTGCAGTGAAATATAATTGGATATAGGTATTATTAAATTATGCAAATACCAAAAGTTTGAGGTTTATAATGGATGAACACAATAGCTCTCACAAAGACAGGATCAAATTACATTCAGAAACGACCTTTTTTTAAATATGGTTAATATTACATACGGCGAGTTTGCTTGCTTTGAATTTTCGAGCTTGAAAGATGTATTTTCGTATATTAATTCTTAAGCCGGCCACTCACGGTCCAACGGTGTCGTTCGACAAAATCGGACAGCGGTGTTGTTCAATTTGTTGGCATATCTGGTGCGCCCACACACCGTACTGCGCCGCAGTATTTGTTCGGTTCTCGACCATGTCAGATCAAACAATCATTTTAGCGTCTCTTGCTTTGTGTATAACAAAGCGTAAAAACAAACCTAAAATGAAACGTAGATTTAGGTGCAAAGAATGGCTTATGAAAAGGGATGCACTGAGTCATCATCAGATAGATTTGAAATAGCTCTTCGGGGTACATTCTGATCATTTAAAAATGAGAGCAACGGAAAATACCACAATTTAGGTTTATAAATCTCGTCTGTCCCTGCACCCGATTTACTTGATTGCAATACTAATTTTAGTTCTCTTTTATAGGATGTTCTAAAATTGTTAATTTTTTTTCTTACATACTCTTCAGTCGCATCTTTGTTACTTCTTGGAACTTTAATATTAAAATGTCCATTGCCTGTTTTCGGGCGTTTCTATCGTGATACGTTTTACTTTTAATTCGCCATAAACATTCTTGTTCTTTATATAATTAAAAAAACTCTCTCAAAAAATTCTCGCTAAATGAAGCCATGTCGATTTTCTAATATGATTAAAGCAAGTGTGTAGCATGATATAAGGAAACAAGGTATGCTCACTAGGTGGACTCGTTTTTGCACATCGCTGCGCCGACCAAAATCCACCATCTTTTCAATACGTCACATGCATGTAGGGATGGTGACCTTATCCCGTACCAGTTACTTTGAAACATGTATTTTATTTATACTTGTGGAACTGATCCCTATCACCAATATAAACGAGTACGGGTCATGGACGTATAAATGAAGATCTTTATTTATACGTCCATGGGTACGGGTACTGTACTCATTTGTTTTGTAAAACAAAAACCCTCTATTAAAAAGATCGCATGTTGTATATGGAATTCTCTGCTCGAATTGTGATGGAGTTTATATTGGACAAACCAGTCAGCTACTGAACTCAAGAATACGTTCCCACAAATATGACAAAAAAACTCAACTGCCCTCACATAACATGAAAACGAAAAAAAACATAAATTTGATTTTGAGAAAACCAAGATCCTAAAAAGTGAACCCAACAAGAAGAAGAGAGAGCTTCTAGAGTCTATACAAATAAAAAAATAACAACGTCATAAATGATAAAAAAGATGTCAAAAATTTAAACAAAATATAATTTAACTTAATTTAAAAACACATAAAAAACAATCTCAGAACGCCTATGTTAAAATAACTGATTGTTTAAACGATAAACCAACATCAATAAACACATAAGATTTAAAATATATTTTACATGTAGTGACTTAGTGGGTATGTCCTATGTTTTTAATATTATTTTAATTGTGACGTGTACTTGTTAGTACCGTATTTTACATGCTTGGTAAGTCAAAAATTTAACTTTTAAACCGTATTATGTCTGTCATGAAATGTTTTTCTAGTCAATATTATTTCTTGAAAAAGGCATGGATTTCCTGCCGAAACGTCGGAAATATAATATATGAAAATGTCGTAGTGTCAAATCAATTTTTTTTATGAACCTAAGCCCAAGAAAATCCCATAAAATATATATTAAGGTTCAAGAACTAAACTCAAACAATATATATATATATATAT